AGAGCTGATAGTTTGCCTGGCTGTGGATCAGTATTTGCAGACAGCCCTCTCTTCATCCCAGCCCGATAGTCTTCCTGTTTTACATGCACAGAGGGGCTGGATGAGCTGACTAAATCAACATTGCTGAAAGTCTCGTGGTCCTGTACTTTGGTTTCTTAGGCAGGATTCTTCCAGCACTGCCCTGTCTGTTAGCACAGATGAAATGATTTCCTAACACTGAATCTTGATGCATGCAACTAATAGGCTCAATTCCTATTCTACATTTTCAGTTATTCGACAAAGGAGAGAAGCAGATGCTGCGTTGTTTTCAGAGCTGCACAGAAAGCTTCATTCCCAGGTACAGTGAAATGTTCTGATGGCTGTGAATGGAGAATAGCTTGGGAATGCATGACCATCCTTGGGTGCTGTCTTCTAAAACTCCCTGTAGTCACAAATGGCTTTTAGTGTAGATAGCATTTCCTCTTCAGAGGCCAGTATTAGAACTAAGTGTCAGCTGAACTTCTGTGAAACTTGTGATGTGTCCTGTAGGAAAGGAATTGGACTCTGCAGTTTGCACTGCAGTGGCTTTGATGACATTGCAAGGAGTAGGCACACTGGTGGATGTCAAGGCCTGTCCCCGCCACTGCAGAAGCTCCCATGGCTGGTGCAGTTATCTGTGAGCAACTCATTTTATCCCTGTAGTGAATAACTAAAGGGGAAAGAAGTTTTTGAACCCTTTGCAATTAGATACTGATACTTAAAATTGTCCTAATCTAATATTTTGATAAAGATTTGTCAGCCTCTGTCAAAAAGGTACATGCACCACAAGTTGAGATTTTGTGATTTCTGACCGCAGAGGAGCTGAGTTCACCCAGCTTTCTTCTTCCCTCTGTAGAGAGGCCTCAGGACTCAGAGTTCAATGTTTACTTGACAGGTCTGTCAGCCTGAGACAGTGCGATGGGGACCAGGACTGGGAGACTCATGTATGTTCCTCCAGTCCTGTCTCTTTGTGCCCAGAATGAGAGTGTCGATTCCTTAGTGCGGTTTGAGTGACTTGTTCACTGCCTTTGGGAATCCTCTCCATCTCGGAAAGTGCTTGTGGAGTAAGGATGAGAGCTTTATGTGTAGAAAGTGGTCTCCAACTGTAGTATCACTTTTGCCTTTCTTCAGTCTCTCTCCTCCTGTGACTGACATCTGCACTTGAGGTATGACAAAGGAGTTTAATGCGCTGTGGTTAGGGAGCTGCTTGACCCTGCTGGGGTCACAGAGGTAGTTTTCTGCAGCAAAACCTGTTGTGTCTGATGCTGTGGCCACTGGGTGGAGGTGTACTTGGGAAACTGAGATTTTAGAAGCCTGTTTTCTGAAAGTTTATTTGAAACTATGTTTACTCCTGTGCTTGCTTGCTTGCCTATCATCTACCTACCTACCTACCTACCTACCTACCTACCTACCAACCATCTATCATATCTATCCGTCTGTCTGTCACCATCTGTCTGTCTATTGACCTATTATCTATCTACCTACTTATCATCCATCTATCATCTATCTATCTATCTATCTATCTATCTATCTATCTATCTATCACATCAGGTTTTGCTGCAGAAAACTACCTCTGTGACCCATCATCTGTCTATCAATTATCATCTACCTACCTATCTTTTATCTATTATCTATCTACCTATCATTCATCTATCATGTCTATATCTATCTATCTCATCTGTCTATCTATCATCTATCTACCTATCATCTGTCTATCGATTATCATCTATCTACCTATCTTCTCGCTTTTTCTGTCTACCTATCATCCATCTACTTATCATCTGTCTGTCTATCTAATAATCATCTATTTATTATCTATCTACTTATCATCCATCCATCTATCATATGTCTTTGGTTTCTAAGATGGTCTTTAACTCTTTTTTTTTTTTTTTTTGGTTTTTTGAGACAGGGTTTCTCTGTGGCTTTGGAGGCTGTCCTGGAACTAGCTCTTGTAGACCAGGCTTGTCTCGAACTCACAGAGATCCGTCTGTCTCTGCCTCCCGAGTGCTAGGATTAAAGGTGTGCACCACCAACGCCTGGCGGTCTTTAACTCTTTAATCCAGGCTGTGTTGAAGAGCACTGTGTGGCCCATATTGGCCCTGAGCTCACAGCCACCCTCCTGCTTCTGTCTCCCTTGGTTTTGGATTACATGTCTAAGTCCCCTCACCTGGTTCCTAAACATTGTTATAAACGGTGGCTGGTTTCCCACCATTTGTAACAGTGCACAGTTAGCCCACAAAACCAACCTAGTTGAGTTTTTCATTCTGGAAATAAACCATGTTTAAAAACTGGGAGAGAGTGGCCTAACACTAACACAGGAAGTATGCCCAGATAAGTAGCTGTTTTATGTTCTTGATTAAAAAAAAAAAAAAAATCCAGCTCTTCAAAGTACAAAGGCCACTGATACTGTATTGTCCTGTTTTCTGACCAGTAAGGGTGTCACATCTGCTATGGGGGCCATGGGATGCCCCGGGAGGAAGGGCCCAGGGTGCATGTTGTTTTCATAGCTAGGGCAGGGTGGATCTAGGTGTGATACAAGGCAGCGAAGTGTTCTGAGCTAGTTCCATTGTGGCCTGGGTAGCTCCTGTGTGCATATGAAGTGTCAGGTGCCATGGCAGCTGCCGAGTAAGCACACATTCCTCAGAAACCTTTGCTTTCATAGTCCTCTGCTTTTGGATGTTGTTTGTCCACATTTAAATCCAGTTGACACCTGGTGCATGAAGCTGTGTGTCTGTATCAAGGCACTTACCTTCCCTGGCAGGCGTCTGAGGTGGCTGTTTCTGAGGGTTAGCTATGGTGAGCTTAGTCCTCGCTAAGTGGTTGCAGCATGGTTGATTGCCTGCTACCATCTGGGCTTCAGCTGGAATTGTCTGTAGTGCCAGTGAGGTAGGGACTGAGGGTGAACAGTGACTCCTGGCTGCCATGCAGCCCTTGTGTCGTGTCCTTCTGGGCCCTGGCAAGGACGTCTTGACTCCTTGGATAGTAGGTTCCTGGCTGCTCTTGTTTCCCTGTTCCTGTTTGTACCTCAGCACACTCTGAAAACTCTTAAATAAATCCCTTCACTTGGCTGTTAATAGCTGTTCCCTATATAAAAGAAGCCTCTCCAAAACCCAGTGTGGTGGCACACTCCTTATCTCAGATCTGGGGAGAATTGGCTGAGATGCACATGTGTAGTAAAAAAGTTATGGCCTGCTTTCTAACATGCCATTGACAGATTTTTGTATGCACAGTTTTGTTCATTTGTGTGCCCCCCACTTCTCCCCAGTCACACCCTTTCTGAGTGAGTGCTGGAATTCTGGCCTTCACTTTATTACAGAGGGAGAGGTCTTCCCTCTATTTTTCTACCCCTGCATTCCTAGGAGAACCTCCTCAGGGACATGAAGCCTGGCATCCTCTAAGCTAAATGGAACCTTCTCGTTTCTTGTGCCTCTGTATCCATACATGTTTATAGGCAGCCTGCCTCTCCTTGTGTCCATTGCCATCTTGACTCCTCTCAGCAGTCCTTAAGTCTGCCTTCCACTGACGGTTGAAGCTGGGCAGCCATGTTTGAGTCCTGGTACTCACTCAGCATTTGCTGTCCTTTCCTTTGTGGATGCTGCTAGTGACTGACTGAGGAGATATAGAATAGAGATAGAGATAGATTTAGAAAGATAGAGACAGACAGACAGAGATAGAGAAAATCTGTGTGGGGAAGACAGCTTGACTGCCCGGTTAGGGAGGGCCTGGGTAAGTCACTGACCCTGAGAAGCCTGGCTTCTTTCTAGGCTGCTGCTATCTTCCTTCATGTCCTCCAGCCAATCCTCTGCTGGGTAGAGTGCTGTGTCCTGAGGAGCCCAGCACAGGCTCCCAGGCCCTTCCGTGGTACAGGTCCTTCATTGTATTTGTAGTGCCTGGGTCTGGTTTAGTCCTTGGATCAATTTGTACCTTCTGTTTCTCATGGCTGAATTTCTAAAGATTCCTCTCCAGTTGTGTAATTTGCCTGCATGTCTATTTCTAGAAAAATCAATTTTTCCTGCCTGAGACAAAGCCACAGTATGTATGCCTGGCTGGCCTGAAACTCACTGTATTGATGAGGCTGGCCTTGAACCCACAGAGATCCACTTGTCTGTGTCCTGCATGCTGGGATTAAAGGTGTGTGTCACCACACCCAGCTTAATCCACAGATTTTGATAATATTTCTTTTACCACCACTGTGTTTGGTAAGTTTTATTAATCAAAAGCAGGGTAACTTTGGGATTTTGTTTCCAGGGAGTTAACCTGGGGGTGTTGGTTACAGAGTGTTGCCCCCAACCTTCTGAGGGGTAGTGCCATTTATGACGCATAAAGTGAGCTTAAGTTAATGTCAACGGTGACTCTTAAAATGTATGCCTGTGTTGGAAATAAGTATGAGTAATAAAACAGGAAAGGTAATAGCTCTTGTAATGTTATTTTTAATCTAAACAGGGTGTTTTGAAAAATACATGGTCAATCCTCTACCTCTTGCTGAACCTTAGTGAGGATCCTCGCAAGCAAGCCAGCAAGGTGGGTGAGCGCGCCTCAGCAGTGCTTGTGGGAAGGTTGTACCACTCTTTCTTAGGAAGGGAGATAGTAGGAGAAAAGCAAAAGGCCCACCCACGGAGCCTGGAAGTCAAGTCACGCCTTCTTTTCCAGAAGATGTGTTTGAGAGTGTTGTCACTCTGATGTGACAGTATGCACCGAGCAGCCCAAGTTGTTAAAGAATTGACCCTGTGAAGTTAGGGCCTTCTTGAGCTGGGAATCATGGGAGTTCTTGTGCTTCCAGGTGTTGAGAGCACTTGTCACTGACATACCAGCAGTCTGTGTTCTTCCTCCGTGTGTTCTTCCCTGCTATAGGGTCTAGTACAATAGAATGTTCTGCAGGCATTTGACTGGCAAGAAGCTGAGGAATGTGGGTGGAGGATTTGTTCCAACCTCCTTGTTTTGTAGTGGTGATAGACTTATAAACTTGTTTGTGTTTTCTATTGGAGTTTAGAGGATACCTAATACTGTCAATTATAACAATTCAAAAGTATCTTATTGACTTGCTTGAATAAGTGCGAAATTCCAATCCAATTCCAGAGATAGCATGGGGATAGGAATATAAAGGCCTTGTAGGTTTGGTAAGGTGTCCTGCAATTTCTTACCTGTGTGTTTATAATACACTTCATTTCAGGTAACTAGCTATGCTTCATTGTTTGCACAAGCGTTACCAAGAGATGCTCACTCGACGCCTTACTACTATGCCAGGCCTCAAACCCTTCCCTTGAACTACCAGGACAGAAGCACACAGGCACAGAGCTCCGGCAGCTTGGGCAGCAGTGGCATCAGCAGCATCGGCATGTGTGGCCTCAGTGGCCCCACACCTGTGCAGCCTTTCCTCCCTGGGTAATGAGCTCACATACACGTGCTTGCGCAAACACACACATACAACACACACATACACCACACATCACACACCACACAACACACATACAAAACACACACATACACATACACACACACGGTAGAACCAGTAACATTCAGGAGATTATGTTTGTCTTGCCCATGTTTCTAGGGCATTTCCTGTGTGTCTCAGTGTTGTAGGTCATAGGTCTGTCCCCAGGTTTTAGTAGGCTCTTTGAAGAAGTAGCAGGGTGAATTGTCCTTAGACTGTGATTTTCAGATTCACAGTTAATGCTGTGAGCTGTGAGGGTGGAAGCCAGGACTGTGCAGCTAGGACAAGGCAGTGTTTGGAGTTATATTAAGATAGCATTCCTGGCTGAGAGTAAAGCAGGTGGTTATGTGGCTAATGGACCTTCAGATTCTTTTCTGTTAAGTACACATTTTTTGTGTGTAGGTAATCAGATGGCTTAGCGTCTTGCCACTGTCATTCCTGGTGATCACAGTATAACAAGACTGAGCTGGGTAATTTTCCAGAGGAGCCGTGATCAGAGAATTGACATCAAAAGCATAATGTTTTCCATTAGAGCACAGTAGAATCACAAGTCACCGAGTTATAAAACGGCACAGAAGGTATTGAACATGGATTGCATTTACCACACACAGGTTGCTCTGTGATGATCCTGTGACATTTGCCAACAGCACTTACAGCTGAAAGGGTCTTGGAATTTAGAGTGCTTATTGTTGTCATGAAAAAGTAGCATAGACAATTTTGAGCTGAATTAGGCTTTTATTTTACATTTACAAATCTTTTCATATGTGTACTGTTGGTGAGCCTGTGCCAGCTGAGGGTAGTGCAGGACAAGAATGGCAGTGCTCCTTATACTGAGGGTAGTGCAGGACGGGTGTGGCAGTGCTCCTCATATAGAGGGTAGTGCAGGACGGGCGTGGTGGTGCTCCTCATACTGAGGGTGGGGCAGGATGAGAATGGCTTCCCCAGAGCACCCCTAGGGCAACAGGTGCAATTAAGAGACCTGTGGTTATTTTAGTGTTCCAAAAGCAGTGGTTTTGTTACAGTTGTCCCTAGAAATCAGTATCGGGTTCTTAGATATTCACAGAGAGACTGTGATGTATTTTCCAGGTTACTTTGCCTTGCATTTTATGTGTTTGTACATTTTCAAATGAATTAAAACTGCAGGGTCTCCTTTCAGAGTATACATACAAGAGTGGGGGTGACCAGCAGATGAGATAGGACCCAGATGTTGAAACTTATCAACTCAGTAAATGTTGAATGAATGACAGGCTATTATCTTGACATTAAAACTACTTTAGAATTTCAAACTGCTTACATGTGGGTATGATATATGCTGTATGTTTGTAGAGAACTCCAATAAGGAAGAGAAGTATAGACAGCAGGGTGAGATAGCTTCCTGGGAGTAGATCTGAATGCTGGGTCTGTATCCCCCAACAGTGTAAGGGGCCTGGAGCTGACTGTGCTGGGATCAATGGGTTAGGAGACTCCTGGTATTAGATTTACACAGTATTGTAGTAGTGTAATAACACAATGACAATTCCTAGCACATTTGTGTCTCTAGTTATTTGAAGCCGAAATGTTTCATTTCTCTAGGCAGTCCCATCAAGCTCCAGGAGTTGGTGATGGTCTCCGGCAGCAGTTGGGGCCACGCCTCGCGTGGTCCCTGACTACCAATCAGCCTTCTTCACAAACCCCTACCTCCAAGGGTTTCCCAAATGCCCTTTCTCGAAACATGACAAGGTCAAGGAGAGAAGGGGATCCAAGTGGTAAGATGTGTTTTGGCATTTAGAAGCCATTTTATTCTCAAAGCCAGAACCTCATCTGTAGTGATTCCTTATATATCATATAATGAGACCCAGAATCCCTGCTGTGGCCAGATGCCTTGTGAGGTCACTTCATGTGGCCTGCTTTTAGTCCTGCTACCTCCCACTTCTCAGCTGTCTGTCTGATTGATCTATTCCTTCTGTGCTGTACTCTCTGCCTCCTTGTCCCAGTTCCCATCCCTTTCTGTTATCCCTCCTGGGAAGCCACTCAGAGCTTCAGGAAGATCACTTCTTGTGTCCAAACCCAAACTCCAAGGAGAAGGGTGTCCATCTAGTCATGGTAGTAGTGTTTAACATGGTGCCTGTAAGGCGAAACTCCCTGGTGATTTCTGGGTGGTGAGAGGAAGACTTCTTGAAGGGTTTTAAAATTCTGTTAGACTGTCAAGGGAGACGTGAGTGTTTTCTTGAGTATACCATGTGTAGCAGTGCTTGTCAGGAGGAGTTACCAGTACTGTTGATTCGTGGTCTGCTGATCCTGAGGCTGTGGTTGCTGCTTCCCTTCCTTCAGGGCAACCATGGGGCAGTGTCATTTGTAATCAAGGGACATGAAGGCCTTTGCCCTTGCAGCTGTCCCCATGGAGAACTCACATGTCACCTTCTCAACCACATTATCCTACCATGTGTGAAGGGTGACACATGCTCATGTGTGGAACAAGCCAGTGCATTGTCCTCAGTCTGCAGACCTGTGTTCCCCACATAGCCGCAGGGGACTTGGAAGAAATAGATGAGAATAAGAAGGAGCAGTGGGGTAGGTAGGGACAATAGGAGTGTGGCTGTTTTAACCCAGGTGTACTTGTTAAAGGCATAGATACTTAATTTCTGTGATAGTTTTAAAAATAATTCCAGTCTGAGTAGTTAATGCTACTTACAAGAGATCCACTTTCAGGGGATTACAAATGGGTTAAAAGTAGGTGGTTAGATAGATAGATGTTAGGTAGATAGATAGATTGATAGATGATTGATTGATAGATAGATAGATCGATAGATGGATAGATGGATAGATGGATAGATGCTGTAAAGTCAACCACAGAGGAGGGAGGGCCGTTCCTCTGTTGGGGGAATTCAAGGAGTGAGATGAAGGTGACCCTTAAGGACAACGAAGATCTACTGAGGAGGATTCAATGAGTCTGGTGTACATGCTAAGAGAGTTTGCCCCTGGCCATGTCATGGTGGACAGAGGAGAAAGAACAGGAAGCCCTGGTTCACAGTGGCTTTGTGGCTCACAGTGGCAAGAGTGCCATGTGAACTTTGAAGGTCACTGTTAACCTGATAGATGATCTCAGCAGTCTTGCCCATAGCCAGGAAGCATGTGCCCAGGCTGTACTCTGTGTGGTGCCTCTGGATGCTGACTGCTCCCAACTCTCCCTGAGTCCCCTCGACATCCTGGGTTTCTGGGTGTGACTCTTCCTTCTTGCCCTCAGTTTTGGCTGTCACCCTAAGTTTATTGTGACATTTGTTCAGAAGACGACGTCCGAGCCATGATCTCCATTTCTGGTAGTGTTAGGAGGGTCACCTTGCAGTAAGCTGGTATTACCCAACCCCTATGGTGTGATTACTCCCTGTCTGGTAGTCACAGGGAGGCTTGTCTTCAGAGACCTCAAAGGGGCTACTGTAGGAGCCCCACCCCTCTCAGAAAGCCCATGCCTTTCTGTCTTAAATTTCTCTTGCTTCTTGGGCTCACTTACACTCATGCCTCAGTAAAGTTGGTATATGTGGTCTGGGAGCAAATGTATGACACACAGTTAATCAGTCATGTAACTCATTTTACATGGAGAGTGTTCCTTACTGTCTTCTAAAAATCGTTTTGCAGGCACATTGGAAGTTACAGAAGCAGCTCTTGTGAGAGATATTCTCTATGTATTCCAGGGCATTGATGGCAAATATATCAAAATGAGCAACCCTGAAAACTGTTACAAAGTAGAAGAAAAGGTATGGTAACAGAATCCCGCCTGCCTAGTTCGAGAAAACTCAGTAGAGTCAGCTATTGAGCTTTTTACTGACTGGCATTACTGGGGCTTGGCAGATGTGGCACCAATCGAGTTGCACAGCTGGATTTGGCTTCTCACCCTGCCTATTTGTGGCTGATGTGATTTGTCCCAGGCCCTCTGTGGCAGTGCTTGCTTTTCCCCATGAATCCTCTGATGGGGCTGCTACAGTGAGGGTAGAGGCCAGGGTGGTGTCCTGTCCTGGACAGATTCCTGACAAAACCTTGCCACGTTACACTCCTCAACTGTGAGTGTCTACTCTCGGCTTTTCTCAGCAGGACAAGGGTCATCGCTCCCTGTGTCTCAGACGATTAGAACAGGTGGCTGGGGCTGGTAATGGGCTCTTGAGTTTGACTTCTGTGTCTACTTTTCAGGCAAACATAAATAAACCTTTGAGGGACATGTCGGTCCGGCTTGCTGAGCTGGGATGGTTACATAACAAAATCAGAAAGTACGCTGACCAGAGGAGTCTGGACCGCTCTTTTGGACTTGTAGGTCAGGTATGTCCATCGTTGTTAGTCTATTGAAGGTTTAAGTATAAAAATCACCGCAGGCTCTTCTTGAAGAAAGTATCCATGGTGACTGACGATGCTGTCAGTCAGGTTCCACTGAGAATATGCAGACTCTGGGAGCTGCTGAGGGGTGGCAGATGGAGATCAGAGGAAAGAGCTTGAGAGAGGTAGCGACTTGGAAGTGGGAGAGCTAGGGCCTTCCCTGTAACCATCACTGCCACCTTGGAGGATAAGGACGGCCTCTGGAAATATGACCAGATCTTCAGGTGCCCCACATTTCTAGTGCTACAGCTGTGGGAAGTGGGGACCTGCTGCTGTCACTGCTCAGATGTGCATGGCTGGGGCACTGATGGACCAGCATATCACTTGAGCAGCCAGCCTCTCCCCCCCCCCCCCCCCCCCCCCACACCTGAGCCTCATGGAGGCCTTTAACAGCCTCTATAGTCATACACGCTCCTCTGAGCTGTCAAGAGTTAAATAGCAGGTATAAAAGTGAGGGTGGGAGTTCTTCCAAAGCCCCAGCCTCTTACAGAGGGTTAGTGGTATATGCTTTTGGTTTTAGGTGCATTCTTAGGCAGTAATTGCTGCCAATGATATCTACAGAAATTCATTGAGAGGGTCACAGAGGTAACACACAGCACAGATGGGTGCTGGAGCATGGCTGGTGGCTAGAATCATGGCAGGGGCAGTGTGGCTAATGGCCAGGAGTGTACAGGGGCAGTGTAGCTAATGGCCAGGAGGGTACAGGGGCAGTGTGGCTAATGGCCAGGAGGGTACAGGGGCAGTGTGGCTAATGGCCAGGAGGGTACAGGGGCAGTGTGGCTAATGGCCAGGAGGGTACAGGGGCAGTGTGGCTAATGGCCAGGAGTGTATAGGGGCAGTGTGGCTAATGGCCAGGAGTGTACAGGGTGTAGTGTGACTTGTAGCCAGAAGTGTACAGGGCAATGTGGCTGGTGGCCAGGAGTGTACAGGGGCAGTGTGGCTAATGGCCAGGAGGGTACAGGGGCAGTGTGGCTAATGGCCAGGAGGGTACAGGGGCAGTGTGGCTAATGGCCAGGAGGGTACAGGGGCAGTGTGGCTAATGGCCAGGAGGGTACAGGGGCAGTGTGGCTAATGGCCAGGAGGGTACAGGGGCAGTGTGGCTAATGGCCAGGAGTGTACAGGGGCAGTGTGGCTAATGGCCAGGAGTGTACAGATGCAGTGTGGCTGGTGGCCAGGAGTGTACAGGGGCAGTGTGGCTAATGGCTAGGAGTGTACAGGGGCAGTGTGGCTAATGGCCAGGAGTGTACAGGGCAGTGTGGCTAATGGCCAGGAGTGTATAGGGGCAGTGTGGCTGGTGGCCAGGAGTGTACAGGGGCAGTGTGGCTAATGGCCAGGAGTGTGACTTTGAAGTGGGATCTCAGAGATGAAATGTGGCTTCTCATTTGACAGTCTGTCACTTTGCACAGACTCTGTCCATTCTCCATAGTTTCTTTTTGGAATAAGAAGGTGAGGAGAGAATGCATAGTTTGCTGCTGGTCCTGAGCCTGCCAGTTTCCTCTTGTACTGTTGTCTACTGTCCAGGGAATTGGCCAACTGGCCATTGCCCTTCTTCCTTTCTGAGGGCTGACACTAAAAGCCTGCCTAACTGGGACCAGAGTCTTTACTTACTTCACCCTGCATCCTGTCTGCCCTGACAGTACAGTACCTTCTTTCTGGCTGAGTGGAATTCAATGGCCATGTTTCCGTGTTTTGGCCGCTGTGAATAGTGCTGTGAATAGCGATGAACAGAGCACAGCTCTTCCTTCAGCATACTGACTCTGTGACCTTTGGACATAGGCCCTATGGTGGTCTGCTGGCATCTGCAAGTTCTACTTTTTAGTTATTTGAGGAGCCTCTGCGTAGCTGATGCAATGTTCACCCCTGCCTCCCCCACCCCAAACAGCATGCCAGCTTCTCCTCCTCATCATTCCCTGATAATAGCTGCTCTTTCTGGAGTCAGGCTGTTTCTCAGCTTTTGATCTGCATTTCCCTGATGATTAGTGGTGTTGAATGTTTTTTCCATGTGCCCATTGGCTGTGTCTTTTGAGAAATGTTCAGTTCTATACTTTAAAAATCAGACTTTTTGTGGGTTTTTCACCTTTATATATTCTGGTATTGATGACTTGTCAGATGTGTGTCTTAGACATTTTATCACTAGAGTAGTGTCGTAAGAATATTACAGTATTTAAATTCTGTTCTCTTATTGATTATGCTAACAGTCTCTAAAATTAGCAGGGTGATTGGTATTCATTCATCAATTCTGGGGAAGTGGAAGTGTACTACCCAAGCTTATCCTGAAGTGCTCTGCCGAGGCGGGGGGTGGGGGGGGCAGGTGCATGTAACTCCTGTGCTGAAGACTTTCCATCTCGTTTCCCGCTGTTGAAGTCAAGAAGTTATGGCTGGCCACATCAGACTTGTTGAGTGCTGTTGTTGGGATGATCTGTATCCCTATTGGGGTGTCTTGGTACCTGTTGTCCTGGGTAGTTCCTGTACATACTCTCTCTGAGGCCTCAGCAGAGCCCATCTCGTACTCTAGATGGAGCAGAATTCTGCAGAAGGGAATACTGACTCCCAGTACAGTTCTCAGCATTGCTTCTCTCTAGCAAGCCCAGGCAGCCCAGCCCAGCTAGCCCAGCTCAGTTAGCCCCTTACTCTCTCTGGCTGTTGGAGATGACTGTGCTCATGGAACCCTGCCATATGGATGTTTGGATGTGGAACCACCTGTAGTTTGAGCTGTGTAGTCTGCAAGTTTGCATTCTCCATGGCATTCTGCAACTTGGGCTCTTGATCAGTTGATAAACTGTTTATTTTTTATTTTGTGGTTCTATTCTCTTGGAGGCTGGGGTGGCAGTTTTGGAAAGTGTGATGATGTGCCTGCACAAATTCCACATTGCTGTCTCTGAACAGTAGGGAAACTTTTAGGCTCACTTTTTGATTAAAATGTACATTTTATATTCTCTTCTGTGTGGTGAAATAAGCCCATATTTTATGACATTGTACATTGCATTAAGGTGTGTGGGAAACCATGGAGCTGCACATTTATTTAAAGAGGATTGGTTTTAGCCTTTGCTGATGTCTTTATGGTAGCTTGTCCTACAAAGCAGACTTTGGGCTATGTGCTCTGTTTATAGCCTTGGGTTCATGCCAAGAGGGTCTTATCATTGAACTGTAAGCCAATGAGACTCTTCTTGACTGCTTCTGAGAGTGTGCATTCAGTTCAGTCTGGAGATGCAGAGAGAAGTGTTCAGTGCACTGAGTGGGACACTAAACCATGTTAAAACTGGGGCTGCTGGAATTTCCCAATGCTTGGAAAAGCATTCAAGGAAGTTACTGTAACTGAAACTTAGAAAGGCCACCATCTTAAAGGGCCATCCTGTAAAGAGACCACACTTTCAGCTTCATGAAAACCTGCCACATCTCCATTTCTTTCCTGTAAGGTCTGTGCTTTTTGTTATTGAAATAGATGCTACAGGTCCAGGATTTCAGTTCCCCCGAACTCCATGGGAAGGTGTCTTCTCTCAGAGTGAGCCATTGTGTGTGCATGGTCATGCTTTAACCCTGCTTTATCCTCTCCACACAGAGCTTTTGTGCTGCCTTGCATCAAGAGCTCAAAGAATACTACAGGCTCCTCTCTGTGCTGCACTCCCAGGTAAGTGTGCTTCCCTTGTAAGCCTTCAAGTTCTCAAGAGTTAGGAAATGGATACTGTAGAGGGGATTTTGTTACTTCATTCATATACAAGAGTAACCACTTCCATAATACAAGATTTGTTCATTGTATCCTAGAGCCAGTTAAATACTCATTTCAGGGTCCTGTCTACCATATGAAGTCTTAATTGTATGTAGCCTGAAAGTGTTGTAGTTTTACAACGGGACCTTTGATTTTATTGTTAGAATAGGTATGGCCTTGTTTTCACTTTGTGTAGGTTAAGGGCTGATGGGATGTACTCAGTTATTGCTATTTAACCTTTCCCTGTTGTCTTTTAGCTCCAGCTAGAGGACGATCAGGGTGTGAATTTGGGACTAGAGAGTAGCCTCACACTGCGACGCCTCCTGGTTTGGACATATGACCCCAAAATAAGACTAAAGACCCTCGCTGCGCTGGTAGATTACTGCCAAGGTCTTCGGAGTTCCTCTATTCTATGCCTCTAGACATACTTTAGTGCAAGACTTGTTTGTGGGTGGGGTCTGCAAGTCTGCTTCTGGGAAAGTTGCCTGGTACAAGTATGGGCTGCTTGTTAGCCTGAGGTGCTGCCACTGAGATGGAACTGAGAAGGAGCTGCAGCTGGTGACCAGAGGCAGCTCTGTGGGCTGCATGCCAGGGCCTGCCTGTGCTCCTACTGCACGCTGCTTACCTTGCAGTCTTCTCTGCTTCCTCATGCTCTGGGCTATCTGCTGCTATCACCCACCAAGTTGCCCAGGACCTGAACTTGAGCACACCCGAGTCCAAGTTCATCACATACTGTCCAGGGGTAGCCTTCCTCACTTCCTGGTACTTCTGTGAAACAGAGAAGTGGGTCACAGCAAATCACTCCTCCATTCCTCTTCATAGCAAACCTCTCCCCAGCTGGGTCCCTGCCATCTCTCCTCTTCCCTCAGGGTTCTTTCCCTCTTGAGTAGGTAGTTGACCACTGAAGTCCTGCAGCTGTCCTGCAGCAGTCTTGTCTATCCTGTTTGGTCTTTGGTAGATGTTCCTGTAAGAACTGCTCCTGGATTCCCAGGTGTCTGCTCATCAGCCCCTCTGCTTGCACACCAGAGTGGTCTGTGTAAAAGCAAGGGTGATGTAAACCCCCAGCTTCTGATACAGCACTGACAACTGTGTTTGCATTGCTGGAAGCCATTCTGCCACTTCCACGCCTTCCACAGGGTCCTGCTGGACCCTAGCTGCTGAGCAGTGTCAGGCTGCACTGCCACTGGCAGGGGGTTGCTTTTCATTATTGGTCCTTAGACCCTTTGCTTTTCATGAATATTTAGGTGTGTACTAAATTGCAGTGTGAAATGTGCATCTCAAGTGTCTAGACTGGGCAGCTGGTCACTCTTGGTCACTTTTACAACTGAAAAACTCCTTGGCTGACTCCTTCTTGAGTGTGTACACAGGCAGAAACTGAATCTTGATGCCTGGGCCGCTGCATTGCATGCTGCTGCTGTTGCTGAATGTAAGGAGTCCTTACTGACTGAGGAAAGCAGATGCACTCTGTCTCTGCTATTTGCTGTCTTTGGTTTAGTGTTAAGTGATTGGTTTGGTTTGTGCCATGAATTCACATTTGGGTATTTATTTCTGTGTGCTTTTTTTTCCTCATTCCTCTAGGACGGAAAGGAGGTGAGCTGGCCTCTGCTGTCCATGCATACACAAAGACGGGAGACCCCTACATGAAGTCCCTGGTGCAGCACATCCTGAGCCTAGTGTCTCACCCTGTGCTGAGCTTCCTCTACCGATGGATATATGACGGGGAGCTGGAGGACACCTACCATGAAGTGAGCACCAAGGCTGGGGGTGAAGGGACAGGGGCACTGCCAGTGTGGTCTGTCTCAACTGTTATCATTTCCTCTGAATAGGACTGTGCCTGCACCTCAGCCATTCACAGTTGGCACTGTCCTTTGTGATCAGCACAGATAGATGGTTAGTGGGAAGCTGTTTTCCTAGTTTTAGAGCTGGGAACTCAGCAAGGTGGACATGCATGTCCAGGCTTACTAGCTGACTGATCAGGGCACTGCCTGGTCTCCATGGGGCCCGGGGACGCAGCTTATAGTAGCTGTATCTTCACGTAGTCATTGCGTAAGCTTGGTCAGCTGTGGTGTTGATAATTTGAATGAGGCTAATTCATTTGTGCTTATTTTCCTTTCGAAATATATGTAGTTCTGGTGTGATGTAACACGCAGAACCATGCAGCAAACACCAGAGGACTTTGTAGTTGTTGGGGAACAGGGCTAGGGATATCAACTCAAAAGTGTTGTCAGGAGCACTAAGAAATAGAAACTATCATGTATTAATTAAGACATACTAAGAGCTTAGGAAATGCATAGATGCCATGCTAAATACAGCATTTATCATGAAAACCCCAATGTTTGCCATGGAAGTGGGTACAAGAGAGGTATTTCTTGGGGGAGGGGAGGTTGAATCCAGGCCACATGCTTGCTAGGTAAATGTCCCACCACCAGCCTACATCCCCAGGCTTTTTTCTGGATTTCTGAAATGTTCAGTACAGACACTATTTACTGTGGTGTAGCAATGCTATACACTGGGGTCGTCTTCTGCAGATACCTGGCTACTGGGGATGTGAGCAAGACTTTAAGGTTTGATGTAGTGTGCGTGCACACTCGCATATGTAAACTGGAAGTTAGTTTCATGTTCTTCAGATGACTTTGACCTTCATTTTTTGAGACAGGGTCTCTCACTGACCTGGAAATTGCTGAGTAGACTAGGCTGGCCCTCCAGCATGCCTCAGGAGTCGGCCTGTCTAGCTCTCCAGTACTCAGTTTACAAATATGTGCCACTATACCCAGATTTTGTTTGTTTTTAATGGTATTGTTATTTTTTTTCACTTTTTTCATGAAATACTGTGATTATGCCCCCCCCCTCTTTCAACTCCTCCCAGGTCCTTTATTATTATTTTCCAGATGCCCATTTGTTTTCTAATGAGAGAGAAAGGGTATGGATTTGGGTGGGAGGGAATATGCAAAAGACTATGATATAAAGAAAAAAAAAAGAACTTTATTTTAAAGTGTGTGTGTGTGTGTGTGTGTGTGTGTGTGTGTGTAAGGACAGTGCCTCCAGAAGAGGGCTTTGGCTGTCCTGGAGGTGGAGTTACAGGAAGTCGTGAGCCACCCAATATATGGGTAGTGAGAATCAAACTTTTGTCTTTTGCCATTGCAATACCTGCTCTCTCCAGCCCCAGCCTCCAACCTGGACTTTGTTTGTCTTACTTCACCCATTGAACCACCTCTCTGGCTCAGGTTTATAAGTTACTGAGTTATTTTTGTCTGTTGAGTACAGTAGAATCTGTCTTCTCATACCTCCTTACCACCAAAGATATTACAGTCTGATGCTAGTGTGTAACCTCTGGATTTACACAGGGCACCCAGCAAGGCCTCTATTTGTTTGTCTGACAGTTCCTATGCCCAAGTAACCCTCTGACCCTGGCACTCTATTTGCCTCGCCCCTTTTGTTGTGAGTGATGACTGACAGCCACAGTTCCATCTGAGGTTAGGTGCAGTGTGGTCTTTGTGAGGAGGGCTGCTGTGCTTGTCCCTGCATTCACTGTGCTGTGACCTAGACCCTGCTCCGTGGCTGCTGAATCTCCTCACTCAGCATTCCCTCTCACTTAGATCTGCATTAAGGTCGGGCCTGGTCAGGGCTTTCTGTGGGCCACAGTGAAACAAGCAGCAAGTGAGATTCTCTTGAGATTCTCTCAAGCCTGTTTCAGTCTGGAATATTGAATGACATTGGCCATCTTCTGTCACTAAGTATAGGTCCCTGATACCCTACATTATGTGGTGAACTCTATAAATAGTTTTCATTTAAGGTTTTTTTTTTTTTTTTTTTTTTTTTTTTTTTTGTTTTTCCGAGACGGGGCTTCTCTGTGTAGCTTGGGAGCCTATCCTGGCACTCACTCTGGAGACCAGGCTGGCCTCGAACTCACAGAGATCCGCCTGTCTCTGCCTCCCGAGTGCTGGGATTAAAGGCGTGTGCCACCAACGCCCGGCTCATTTAAGTTTTAAGTCACTTTTGGGAAGATTATCTTTAACTTCAAATACTAGGTTTACCATACAAAGTCAGTAGCTTATGGAATTACATTGTATATTTGATTGTTGTGTAATAAAAATTTGAAGATTTTGCCTGTTTAGTCCTTGCATAGGCTAATTCTTCCTCAGCATGGCCAAAGTGAGTTGTAATTTAATTGTGAAATTGAATTTCTTCAAGTGTGACTCAATGGCTGTATGTGAGCTATGTAATCATTGATTTCATGTAGTTTATGGGATATCTGCAGAGGGAGGCGCATCTTCAGCCATCAGATCAGGGTGCAGGAACTGGGAAGGAGTCAAGTAGAATTGTGAGCTAGAAAATGACTGGCTCCTGTGATCAGTGTTGATGGTCAGGCTGAGTGGCCTGAGAAGTGTCTGGTAAGCAAGCACAGCCACTTGAATGTGTCTGGGAAGAAGAGCCCAGCGAGGACTAGTTAGTAGTACCCCAGAGGTGGGCTGGGGGCCCAGACTTGACAAGAGGGGAACAGAGAAAGCCAGTGAGGGTAACATTCTGTGCTCTGCATGCTGCCCATCACTGTGGACGTAATCTCTGAACCATGACCAGGATAACCCTTCCTTTCTTAGGCTATGTTACCGTCACAGCAGCAAACAGTCTAAGATAGCTCTACACCAGACTTGACCAGAAAGAAGAGACACACCCACTGACTGGAAGGAAGTGAGATGAGGGGCGACCAGTTAACAGACAGGAAGAATAAGGAAGGAAGGGAAAAGACAGCTTGAGCCTGTGCTGTAGAACTGATGAAGAAAAGTCACTTTTTATCTGTGTTTAGTTGATGAGAAACATAATGAACAGATCCATAGAGAGCAACGAGGCATGTTATAATAGAACTGTGGAGAGCCAGAGATGGGCAACAGTCTACAGCAGCCACAAGGAGCTTAGCAGCTGCCTTTCCATGAGATGGCCAGAAGGTGGCGGGTGTGTGGAATAAGATCATGGGAATTGTGTGGCCAGTGAAAGTCTCATGCAGAAATGGAGAAAGGACAGATGCCTCTTAAGTAAAACCCGGGAGAGTTCCCAGATTGCAAAACTGCCCAGAATGAGTCACAAGGAAACAGGAATGTGCTTGGACCTCCAGCAAGTCAGTGGTTCTGTTAGTGATGGAGAAGATCTGCAGACAAATGCCTGATGAGCTGATGAGATGCTTGTTGGGTGAGTTTGCTGCAGATTCACACCAGGCCTTCTCAAACTTCAGGATGTACAATAGGAAGGAAAGTGAAGTCTGTTTTATGAGGCCACTGTAGCACCACACAAGACAAATACATGGTCACATCTCTTAGGACTATAGATGTGGAAAGTCTCCACTAAATGCCAGGAAGCAGAATTCAGAAGCATGTTGAAAATGCTATTATAGCAAGGGATTTATCCCAGTATCACAGAGGTGTGAGCCATAGTCTACCAGTGTAACAACCATGGTAAGAGTATGGGGATATGGGGATACTCTGTTGATACTAGAGAATCATTTGATGACATTCAGCACAATTTGGCTATTTAATACTGAGGCCTTGACCAGAAAGGAACCTTTTTTTTTTTTTTTTTTTTTTTTTTGAACAATGACAGCTAATGCCTGTGACTGGTGGGAGGCCATCTGCCTTCTCCCTGGATAACAACCAAGACAAGGTATCCACCATCGCCACTCCTCCTCCGCATTGTGCCACACACTGGCAAGAAAAGAATGAATTGGGTAGAAAGGAAAGGATGACCTTAGTGCACAAGAAAGCCCGAGCATGCCCTGTGTATGTGCACTGCAAAGGGTGCACACCTGTGCCTGATTCCTAAGGTCCTCAAACTAGCAGCCCAGCAGTGACAAAAATCGCCTGTTTCTCTATACTCAGTAAATGCTGCAAACAGGAAATAAAACAGCTCTACTCACATCAAACGTATAGAATACTTAAGGATAAATTTAGCCAAGGAAGCCCCAATCTGGTGCCCTTTGAGAAATTGCCTGGTCCATGACCTTCATGACCCAAGAAAGCTGACTGGATTGTGCCCCCTTTGAAGGTGCCATGCGCTCCTAAGTCCAAAGCTGGAGTAGTAGGCATGTTGGTGTGGGAGCGTCTGTGGTATATGATGTATATGACTCCTAGGAACTAAGCTGTATGCTAAGAAAATCTCTCTTTTGCTTCTGTTTTGGGGGTGGGGAGTGCACATTTGTCTAGCAGTTAATGAGAAATCAGGGTACAGTGACATTTTGTTTTATTTTTTTCCTAGATTCGTTCAGTGTTTGACACAATGGTAGAAATTAAAGGACCTTGAAGGGAAAATACATCAATATAATGAAGGCTTATTGCAATTATATTCTGACCTTGGTTCTTTCTTCTGCCACCATATATATCTCACAGAGTTCATTATATTCTAAAGATGAGTACACCCTTTGTACTCACTACTAGCTGCTCGTAGAGTGACTGCACGCTCCTGTGCCCTAGATGAAGCAATGTGTTCATGACTTCCAAAGATGACTGAATTGTCTGGGAGGTTTTTTTTTTTTATGGTTTAAATTAAAATTTCTTATTGTTCACACTGATAGAAACCCAGGTGCACTCCAGCTATCAGGATAAATTGATGTGCTGTCTGTAAAAACTAGCTCTTGTGTTTAAGTGAATAATGGAGAAATACAATTTATATGCAATTAATCTAATCTGTTGAATGGCAAGCCAAAGGGCAGTCATAGCACCGTGATGGTAACCGGGAGAGATGCTCATGGTAAGTTTGTAAAGTTTTCTTGTTTCTATCAGGGTTAATTTCAGTAAGTGTTACATGGTAACCTCATCACAGCAGAGTGTTTGTTTCCCCAAGCTGCCTTGGTTATATAGTATGCAGTAAAGCGGTGTAGAGAGATGGGTTAGTTGAAAACAGATGATCCTTTCCTGGTGGTCACATGAGTAAGCTTAGCCTACAAAGTCAACATGAGACCTCACTCATCATCACTAATGGTTACACAGCTTGGCAGTGGATTTCTGCAGAAGAAAAACTGTTGTGAGAGAATGATGCTATGTAAAAACCTAAAATAACACAAAGCTTAGCTGGTATCAATTACTAGTTTTTCTGATTTATACACTATTTGTGCAGGGGAAGTTAACATTTTGTTAGCAGTCTGCTCATGAGTGGTAATATTTGTGTTTACTCGGTTTCAGCTGGACTGTGTATCATGCCATACATAATTTTTTCTTAGAAGTAGATAATGAGTATCACTTTCTGACATTAAATTATTCTTCACCAAGTTCTTAAAATGTTCTTTGAAATCCTGACTAGTGGTTCCTATGGCCTGTATTTGTAAATAAATTTGCATTTTGTTTTTCCTGGAAAGGTTAGTGCTCTTCCTCAAGTTCTTGGAGGTCTGTGACAATTAGTAAGAAACTTTAATTTTAGTGGTTACATGATCATTATAGATCATTGACATTGCTCTTTTGGCATTTTCCCAACAAAACTGCCTTTATTCATCAATTGTGTGATTGTCTAGCCACTGTTATAACTAAAAAATCTCATAGCTTCAAGCATTGGAGTTATTTGTCTGTTTGTTTATTTTTGAGGCAGGATCTTTACTTTGTAGACCAGGCTGGCCTTGATACTTGGAGAGACTGCCTGCCTCCCAGTTGTTAGCATTAAAGACATGCACCATTACCCCAGATAGCCTCTGACATTTTAATAGCATATTAGAAGTATAACATACTTCAATCAAAAAGATTTTGTCAATAAAAGATATTTTATTTAGAATAACTAATAGAAATAATACAAAATAATGAAAATAAAATGCTAAAAATGCATCGAAGGTTATTTATGTAATCTGGAAATGGGAAGATTGTATGAGAGTTGGGAAGCCCAAAGCTGTAATTACAACAGTAACAACAAACAGAATAGGCCAAACAAAAAACATGGAACATACTGCAAACACTGGCAAGCGGTTAACTTTGGAAAGTTGAATATGTAATATGCAATGATTCCCAATTTTAAATGTCTAATGTGTGAAGAATCTATATACTAATAAAAGTCAAAATAGGAAGGTAGGAGACACTTCACAGGAGGAAAACACCAAAGGGAAAATTATCAGTGTGGCAGTATGCTAAACTTTATTTAGCTAAGGGTGCAGAATGCATGGTACCCTGCTGGCTGTCTCCACAGGCCATGGAGGTATGTGTGGCATCATATATACAAATTGAGCATCCTTCACCCATCAGTTCTGTTTCCAGAAGGCCAGTTGGTAGGGATCTGGGGAATGGTACTAAGCCTCATGGCTAAAGGGGAAGTGGCCTCTTTGTAGTATAGATAAACTGGAACAATGGCAGCTGCATCTTTTCCTTTCTGGGATGTGGTGTGGGAGGGAGAAGATGAATGGTGACCTGGATGAGGCAGAAGAGGAGAGTCACATGAGGAAGTCTCTTCCTCTGGTACACCTTGGCTGGTTGATCCTGTGTGCTGTGGGCACCGCTGCCAGTGGCCGTGTGTGCGCTGAGTCTGTGTTCAGCTGCTGCTGACCCCACCTGTGTGTGGCACTCTGTGACGTGGAGGCTGTCGGGCACATAAACCGGGGGCAGCTAGACATGGGTTGAGTGTTAAGACAGCTCTGGAATTCCATGTTGATTCCATGCTCAGAGCTCCAAGCTCATGCAGAAGCTCTCAGGACATGGGTCCATCCTGGAGGCTGCCTCGGAGAAGCTTCAGTGAAACTCAGCTGAGGCTCGCTCTTAAGTCTCCAAGGAAAGGGACAGCTTGTTGTTGTTGTAGTTTGTCTTTAAACATCTGGGAACATGATCAACTTAGCTTTCTGTCCAGAATGATTTGTCACACAGGCTTATTGTATAAGTGAGTGGACTCCTAGTGTCTGAAGAACTTACTTATAGGATAACTTCTTTTGTTACTAATAACTAACATTTTTCACACATGTTTCTAATGCTCAGTGCTCTCTTTTATTCTTAGTTTTTTGTGGCATCAGATCCAACTGTTAAGACTGACCGACTGTGGCATGACAAGTACACATTGAGGAAATCGATGATCCCTTCCTTCATTACGATGGACCAGTCCAGAAAGGTAGGGCTGGGCTGGAAGACACTTGCCATTGTTGATTTCTTAATACTCAGACTGCTTGAACTATGTGATGGAAATCAATTCTCAGGTAAAGAAGTTTTGTTGTGTTTTGCTAATGGACTGTGCTGATACATGTTTATCTGTGTGCTTTTTAGCTCCTAGAACTATTTGATAGAGATTCAGTGCTCATGTCCTGTGCTTTTAAATTAGTAGCTAATATGTAATGTGTGAATATTAGAAATGTTTAGATCACTAACTTATATATAGGTGATCATAGCTTATTTTCTTTTTTAGGTCCTTTTGATAGGAAAGTCAATAAATTTCTTGCACCAAGTTTGTCACGATCAGACACCAACTACAAAAATGATAGCTGGGACCAAGACTGCAGAGTCACCCCGTGAAGGTGTGTCTACTTTGATGGTGGCAGTGGAAGGGGTGGGGATGGTGATCATGGCTGGTCATTGTGATGGTGATGTGAGGTGGTATGAGACACCTTAAGATTCTTTTTTCTGTCGCGTCTATAGATCACCTGGGTTACTAAAATACCTTCATACAGTATATATATATGTATGTACATTATGAAATAATCTATTGCTATGTGGGTGTTCAGTTTTTTTCAAATATGGAGTTAGGTAGTGGCATTGGAGTAGAGTTAACCATTTCCTCCTTAGTTACTTTCATTGCATTTTTATTCCCCTTGATGATAAAAAGATAGTAATAAATAAATATGGCAATATGGCAGATGGATAGGCAGCCACATGCTGGGGCAGCATTTAGACATTTGGTGATCACCTGTCTCTCCATGATGGCTAAGGGCAAGGCCAATCTGTGGCAAGGGTTTTTGAGGTCAGGAGACAGCCTGTGCAATTCCTGAGAGCCACAGCGTCTCACACAAGTGACTTGCTTGCAGACTTCCATGTATCCTCTGGGTAGTCCTGGGAAAGAGATAGGATCCAGAGTTGGCTTGGGGGAAGGAAGATAATTGTGTTTAAGAGATAGAAGAGGAGTGCTGGAGTTAAGACATATCCATCATGCTGAGGACATACAAGAGGTACAGGTGGTCTCCTGGGGTCTCCCAGTTCTGTTGGGATTCTGAGGCTCGGATGTGGCTGTAAGACAGCAAGTTAGTGAAACTTAACCTCCAATATGCTTGCATTGTGGTCCTTGAGCTTACAGGCAGTGCTGGGGCTCTTCCTCCTGGAAATCAAGTGCCAGCATCAGCTCTTGGTGCAGGGGGACACTGGCCTTTCACTGACTGTGGCTGGGTGGGGTCTACACTGTCGGCTTGGCTCTGGTTCCATGTATACCTTTACTATTCCTTTGTTAGGCTGGCGTTGGTGGCGCATGCCTTTAATCCCAGCACTTGGGAGGCAGAGGCAGGCGGATCTCTGTGAGTTCGAGGCCAGCCTGGTCTCCAGAGCAAGTGCCAGGATATGCTCCAAAGCTACACAGAGAAACGCTGTCTTGAAAAACCAAAAAAAAAAAAAAAAAAAAAACAAAAAACAAAAAACTATTCCTTTCTTAAGGTAAATGTCACACATGGATGCATGCCTTTCCCTTTTGTGTTCCACAGCTGAAGATTTATTCACAGACTTAGAAAATACATTTCAAGGGAAAATAGATGCTGCTTATTTCGAGACCAGCAAATACTTATTGGATGTCCTCAACAAGAAATACAGCTTGCTGGAACACATGCAGGCTATGCGGCGGTACCTGCTTCTTGGCCAAGGAGACTTCATAAGGCACCTAATGGATTTACTAAAGTGAGAAACTCCATCTTTGAAGTATGCAGTGTCTTTAACATGATAGAGAACTAACAGTTTTTCTTTAAAGGAATAAATCAGTGACACCAGAAGGAAATGAGTTGAATTCTTACAAAGTCTGTGTTTAAAACAAACTACATAGATACATTTTTTGTGGGGTTAAATCCCTTACTTTTTTTCTCAGTTGTCTGTAGACCATCAGAGGTGTGTCTTGCTGAGTTCATGGGGAAGCTACATGTCCCCGTGAGCACTGTGACATGAGCGCTGTCACACGTGTAGTAGTAATTCCCTGAGTGGGTGGAGTTGGGCAATAGTTACAGGTAGCTATGGCTTCAGTTTGAAGTTAATTCGATAAATACATATTTCAAATTGACCTTTTAAGTCACGTGTTTTGTGCAACTTGACAAAGCATCGTTCTCTTACTGTGTTCCCTGTGGTCGTCTTCCTGTGTGGAGTACCCATACCTGGTTGCAGCTCAGGACTCCAGTCAGGGCTGATGATGAGTGAGCCACATGTGGTCACAGCAGGGCAGTGTTTTCACTGAGGCATTTGAAGGGTGTTTTCACTTGCTGTGAATCAGTGTTCTCTTTAGGATACACAGTTAAACTTTCCTCTTAGGACAAAGAATAGCAAGTTACCTCTACACCTTGCCTGTGCTAAAGAAGCTGATGTTTTGGCCCTGTGACCTCAAGGTTAATTTATCTGACTTCCCTGGAGGTCCAGTCCCCAGCTGTCCCATCTTGTCACCTGGGAAGTTTGTGTGGAGGTGCTGACCTGGATCCTCTGAGGTAGAGTGGGCTACTGCTGACCTGGAGCCCCTGAGTTGGATGCTTGGCAGTCTCACAGCAGAGCATTTCCACACCAGAAGTGAGGGAGCTTTCCTGGAGAGTTAGAGGCAGTGTGGTGAGGGGCTGTTGAAGGAATACGTTCTCTCGGAGCCTGTGGAAGAGCACAGAGTGTGGAGTGTACAGAGTGGATACGTGTGCAGGCAGCCTAGCCAGGCAGCGCAGAGTTAGAGGTCTGGAGAGCATCGCAGGTCCCTTCTTTCTCTTCTCTAGAGCCCTGTCTGCCCATCCAAGGAGTGCCATCCACCTGTGCTGTGTTCTCTCTCTCAGGTCTCTCCTTACCCAGCACTGCACAGGCACACCTGAGATGCTCACCATCTCATAACCAGATGAGTGGGCGCTGCATGTTTGGAAGCACAGCCCTTACCAATGAAGCGTGATGGTGACACTGCTGGGCCCTTTGGACCCTGATATCTATACTTGTGTAGACATCAGGTCTTTGCAGGAAATTATAATAACCCTACTCATAGGCCAGTCATAGTTTGAAAATTTCATCAAAATGTGTAGCAATGTAAGAAGCAGCTTCAGTGTAAGTTGAATGAAGATTAATGTTCTCAATATTTTGAAGAATGTGCTTTCTACAGCCCTGTATGCAGTTAGTGTCATGAAGCTTTTCTTATGAAAGAGTTAGAGTTTGTTAAAGGTATTTTAATAGATGCTAAGCCCAGAGGTAGGAGAAAGATGCACTCAACAGACAGTAAAATGTTCCATATCATGGTGTGTGTGCTCAGAGCAGCTCACTTTGTTGTCTTTACAGTGGGCACACACAGGGTTTTGGAGACATCTTTAAAGGATGTCTAAGAAACCTGAGACCACAGTATAGTTGCTGGAAGCACCATAATGCTTTTATAACCACATTTATCTATCCCATTTGTCTTTTCAGTTTTTGAACTTTTACTTTTAATTATTATTGTTTTAAAAATTCGAATAACAATAACTTTAATTTTAAACACATTTCTTAAGACCAGAACTTGTTCGCCCAGCAACGACTTTATATCAGCATAACTTGACGGGGATTCTTGAAACTGCTGTTAGAGCCACCAATGCCCAGTTTGACAGCCCCGAGATCCTCAGGAGGCTAGATGTGAGGCTGCTGGAGGTATGTGAGGGTGCTGGGGGCACGTGAGGCTGCCGGGGGCACGTGAGGCTGCCGGGGGCACGTGAGGCTGCCGGGGGCACGTGAGGCTACTGGGGGTAGCTGAGTCCCCGTGTCCTCTCCAGTGTCTTCCTATTGTGTGAGGCACAAGACTGGTCATTCTTGTAAACTAAACGTTCTGGGTATGCTCTGCCCTGTATTAGAAGAGGCAAGTTCCTCTCCTTAAGCCACATTATCTTACTAAGGGCACAGCTTCCAAGTTGGATGCTGTGCATGAAACAGTCCCACAGAGCATGGGGACATCACGGATGCTTAGTGAAGTGCCACATCTAGTAGTCCATTGGAGGTGATGCGCACGATCAGACCATTGGTGGAGGTGCTGCCACAGCAGAAGGGCTGTGCCTGGAGTGAGGCTGTGCACATGGGTCTTCACTGGCTGCGCAGTTGCCGCACTGTTAGAACCCACTGGTTTCATTGAAATACAGGCTTTTTGAGGCTTAGAACCTGATAGGAGGCAGTGTGGTTTTGTCCTAAAGAGGCTCTGAACTTGGTACATGTCTGAGTATATGTGATCTGAACTTTGAACATGTGTGAGTCTCCACAGAGCACATGTGATGTGCCTCGCTGCTTCTCAGCCTTGTAGATGCATGCACCCGGGAGGAGGCAGGTCTCCACTGGCACACAATGCAGAGCGCTTACTGCATTAAAACCTGTATCCTGTTCTTTGAGCAGTTAACCGGTTCTTTATCGATTAGAACAAGCCTTTCTATTAATGGTTATTTTATTGCGTTAGGTCTCTCCAGGTGACACCGGATGGGATGTCTTCAGCCTGGATTACCACGTCGATGGACCGATCGCCACTGTAAGATCATTCTGTGTACTTGTATGTAATGCTCACAACTGTTTGGATTGCTGGGCATTTTACTGTTTCCGACTGACCTCCTTTTCTAAAAACTAAGGTTCAAAGTAATTGTGCTGTTAGGATATACCCACTGAATGAGTTACTTAAGCCAAGACTGTGTTTCAGATAATTATTAATGAAAGCTGTAATGCTCTTATTATTTTAAGAATTCTTAGAAATATCATTTGTTCTGTCACAGGTTTCAGCAAGTGCTTAGTAAATGAATTGTTCATTTTATGCCATTATTCTTAGACTGTAGCAACTAATTTAGGATAATTTGAAAGGAAGCGTAAAGTATATTTTCAGGGAATCGTATTTTTCCTACTTAGATGAAATTTGATATTTAGTGCTCGTTTAAGCTGATGAGTCGATAGCTGTCACATTGTTCGTTGCTCTTTCACTCATATGTTGAGAAGGATGGACCTTGTCTCCTGCCACATTACAGAGGCTTGACTAGAGGGGTCGTCTTTACATGTCTGTCTGTGTTAAGCTGCCTTCCTTTAGGATTGAGTAAAGCCTCCTGGCCACAGAACCTCTGAGACTTACTCATTTCTGCATCTGAAATGCTGGGGAAGTAAATTGTAAATTGTACTCCTTTTTTTTTTTTTTTTTTTTTTTTTTCAATTGGGGCTCTTTGCTAAGCAGTGTCTGATTGGGCTCTAAAATCCTGTCTCTAGTGGTTGAGTAGCCTCATGACTGTCCCTTTTATCGGGTAAGTCACATCCTTGCTGTGATGATTCCACAGAAGCCACATTTACAGAATGCCACATGTCTTAAGGCTACTGTGGACTGAGAGCTGCTAGGGGGGTTTCTTTGACTCATGATCCTCATATTTGACTTTGATCCAGTCACAGCTACTAGTTTAAATGCACAGTTGTTCTTAAATTTAATCTTCTACCATATTCAGAGTGGCCTTTCTCCTCGGCTTGTGTCCTGAGTAGTGGTTAATGTGTAAAACGTGTAGTATTTCATCAAATTATTTAGGATTCCATATTATCTGCTTTGTTAGTTTATGTGCATTCTGTATGTTCATGCATGAAGATGCAATAATGAGGCCCGGGGTATAGCTCAGTGCTAGAGCACTTGCCTAACATAAGTGAGTAAGGTCCTGAATTCTATCCCAGACCCCAGAGCTGCAGATGCCGTGGTGAGGAGGTAGGTCGAGTGTGGTATAGGTGTGTCGTGTCAGGGTGGCTTGTCAGAGTTACATTGTGTGTTGTATATAGCACAGCTTTAGGAGGACTGAAGAAAAACAATTTATACCACAGCTTTATTTTAATGACACATCTGTGACAGCCCTGTCTGGCCTGGCCCACAGGTATGAATTCGTAGGCCAGCTGAGTTGGTTGTGATAGCAGCCTGGGCTGCCAGGTGGAGAAAGAGAAGAAAGGACTCTAGAGTTGTTTGGTAGCTCAGCCAGAAATGAAGTGTGTGGGGTTCTCTTCTGCATGACTTTTGGTGTTTCTGTCCATGGGTGGTGAAATTTTATCAATTGCCGTAACTATCGGCATATTATTACAAAAGCACAAGTGTCAAACTAGTATTGGACAGATTTAATTGTATACAGAAGTTACTGATATAAAAGGAGGGGCCAGAGAGATGGCCCAGGGAGTTTGCATTTGCTGTACAAACTTGATGACTGCAGTTCAGGTCTCTAGCTTGTGTGCTGGCAGCCCTCCTGCAACCCTGGTGCACAGGAAACAGAAACAGGAGATCCCCAGGATGAGCTGGCTGGCTGGACACGCTGAATTAGTGAGCTCTGGGTTCAAATAAGAGGCTGTCTTGATAGCAAATGGAGACCAACTGAAGACACCTGCACATATATGCACCCATAACACACACATGTGGAAAGACAAACTCAAAAGATAAAAGGAAGCCTATTTTATAAATACAGTTATTTTTTCCGCTTTTCCCATGGTTAATTTGTGTGTTACCTGTTTCCGTTCTATTCTCATTAATTCAGACTGTCATTTTTGAACAGAATTTAATTATAGTAGGAATATATCTTGTAGCAATCATATAATTATATCTTGTATAATAGCAACGTTAGCTTCTACTAATTCTAAGATATAAAATGTCAGTGAAATTTTGGGGTAAGTCTAATTTGGGACATTGTGAAATTCACAACCCAGGTTACTGAAGAACCCATTAGCTAAATCCAGCTCATTAACTGTGGGAAGTATTTCTGGTTGATCTTGCTTTTCATGAGCTTCAAGTTATTTGTGGTGAAGTCCATCCAGATTTAAGTGTGGTGAGGCCACTGCATCTTGATTCCAGCAGCAGAAGGCTGATTTGGCGGGCTTGCAGCCATGCTGTGTTCTAGTGCTTGTTGGTGAGGGAGGCTGAGAACAGGGATCATCCATCAGGGCTGCTGTTCCCACACTGAGCAGGGTAGAGACTAGCTCTCTGTTAAGGTCTCTGCAGATAAGGAGTCTGGAGCTTGCTGTATCTCTGGATTATCCCTTTGGTGAGCAATGTAGCCAGATGGTAAAACTGCTATGGGTGACACTTGCTTCCAAAGCAGTAGATGTCTTCCTCTTATATAGACAATACTTGAAAGATTATGACTTAACTGAATTTTTAAACTCAATGAGAATATGGTACTTCAAAGGCCAGTCTATGGTATATCATGTACATGGAGAAGAATCCAGTAATTGACTCGTGGCATCTAAATGGGTCATGCTTAGTTTCTGTTATCACAGAGTGATAATTAATAGTGTAGGAAGCAAGTGGTACACAGATAATCCCCCAGGCCCTTGGATTTGATTTTGGGATTACTTAAGAGCAGTTTCAGTCAGTCCTGTGTGTAGTTGTTTGCTTGTCCTCCATAGTCATTGTCACCATCACCATCGAGTGCCTTCCGGAGCCTGCCATTGAGTGGCATTGGGGGCAACAAATAGGCAGTCCCTGTGACATAGATGTGTGAGGTACACAGGAGAACACAGATTGGCCTGCAGTTAGCATTCCATGCTAAAGTGTAAGGAACAAGGATAAAGTTCCGGTGTCTGAGGAGACATACTGGCATGGAGTATATAGATGGACCAGTGGTGAGACGGTAAGGGAGGCTGAGCTCCTTCGGGTCTCATGTAAAGAACAGAGGACAGACATGGACAAGGCAGGGGCAATTTTTGGAGATCAGAGCTCCTTCATAGAGGAGTGTGGCCTTGTTCCCATGCTGAAGGCATGTTCTTTGCAGAGTCGGTGCAGGCAGCTGTGATGTGCTTCTTTTGGTGATACTTACATGAACTAAATTCCATGTGGCTTACCTGCTGTTCAAGTATGACTGGATAGCCTGGGTTTTTATTTGTGAAACTTAGCCAGGAGGAGGGTTGGAAGTGGTCTCTTTATCAGGACCCATCGCATGTATGGACAGCCACATCCATGGAACCAAATATAGAGGTATTGGGAAGGAATCAATAAACCTGTGATAAAGACCTCAGGGTGGAGGTGCTGCTGGGCTTGCCTCTGCTTTTGTCACTAAAGCAAGTGATCCCTGACTGTGTCTCTTAGAAGTTGGGAGTTACAGTCAAGGATCCAAGTTTAGACTGATATGGACCGGGTTTAAAGTCTTGGTGAGATGTGGCTAGAAAGTGGACTCAGTGGTTAAGAACACTTGCTGCACTTCCATGTGACCCACATTCTACTCCCAACAGTGGCTCACAACTATCTGTAGTTATAGTCCCAGGGGATCCAATGTCCTTTTCTGGCCTCCAAGGGTACTGGGCATGCACATGGTGCACAGACACACATGTAAGCAAAACATAAAGCATAAAATAATGGGGGGGGGGGAACTGGGCATGGTGGTGCACACCTTTATCTTAGCACTTGGGGGCAGAAGGAGGTGGGTCTCTTGAGTTTGAGGCCAGCCTGGTCTACATAAGGAGTTCCAGGACAGAGAAACCCTGTCTTGAAACCCAGAGTGGGGAAGAAAAGTTCTGGTGAGCTGTCTTCCCATCATACTACCTTCACCCCTCCTTCACCCCTGTGTCTCCAACTCCAGGACTGACACACACATGTCTGATGCTGCTGTTGGGAGTCTGCCTGCCTGGCCTGTAAGGAAGCAGGTGGCTGTCATTACACTGTGCCTCTTCAGAAGTGCACTATTCTCCTTACTGTGTACCATGTAGAGTGTGCTGAGTCCTGTGTGTGCTGATGGTGGGAAGGCCAGGGCCTGCACTAGGAGATTCTTTGAACAAGAGCCATGACCTGTCTTTCGTCTCTGTAGGTGTTCACACGAGAGTGCATGAGCCACTACCTGAGAGTGTTTAACTTCCTGTGGAGGGCCAAGCGCATGGAGTACATCCTCACTGACATACGGAAAGGGCACATGTGCAATGCGAAACTCCTGAGGAACATGCCAGGTAAAGGCGGGGCCATCTGAGTCTGCACTGCCACACTGCCCTTCTGTTGACAGCGAGCAGCATAGTCCTAGAGGAAGTGTACTGCACAGACTTGTGCTGTGAGTTATTTGGATATTGTGTCTTGACTTCATTAGAGAGTAAGAGAAAAGTAAGTCACAGTGGATTTTTTCCATACCAGGAAGTTTCTTTTAAAATCACATTTGTTTTTCCACTAATGTTCATGGGTAATAGTTTAATTTAAAAAATAATAAAAAATAAATTATGAGTGCCTGAGTATGCACCATGTATGTGCTTGGTACACATGGAGGGCAGAGGAGGGTGTTGGATCCCCTGGAATTGGCATTACAGACAGTTGTGAGCTGCCGTGTGGGTTCTGGTCATCTAACCCAGATTCTCTGAAAGGATAGACAGTGCTCTTAACCACCAAGCCATTTTTCCAGCCCCTAGTTTTAAATTTTTGTTTTGTTTTGGTTTTGGTTTTTCAAGACAGGGTTTCTCTGTGTAGCTTTGTAGACCAGGCTGGCCTCGAACTCACAGAGATCAGCTTGCCTCTGCCTCCCCAGTGCTGGGATTAAATGTATGTGTCACCACCACCCAGCTCCCTAGTTTTCATTTTTAAACACCAATTTTCAAGAAAGGAAAACCTTTCAGTAGGTCCTTGATTTATTTAAAATTCACTTAGTACTTTAATTATATTCTCTTTGAGGTGTTAATTTTTATTTTGACCATAATACAGGATGTGGACATGTTTTACATTTTATAATTTAGAACTATAGTTAAGACACTTAGGCATTTAGTCAAGATTTCGTTAATGTTACAATATTGAATTGCTTCAATTATGAATAATTTTGAGTTCATTATGTTGAACTTTTAAATTGATTATGAAATTGATTATGAAAACATAATCCTCTTTAAGGAACTAAACCAAATCTGCCCTTGGATGAGTAAAATAAATCTTTATAAATAAAACAGCAGTTGTTTGAAGGAAGAGGTTTCCTCATCACTGCTATGGTTGTAGGCTGACTCTAGATAGCTCCCAAAGGTCCAGACAGTGATGGCTACAGCAGACTGAAGGCAGTGGTGGCCTCCCAAGCCACTGTGGCCAAGGAAAGAGTGGCTTTTACCAGGAGTCTCAACACTACTGTATTTATAGTCATTGATGACTGGTTCCTGGTTGGTGGCCAAGAAGGAAGTAAAGGGAGTGCAGCTAGTTTCTTGTTTCACATAATGAAACTGACAGTGTGGTGGATAGCTTGTCTTCCTCACAGCCTTCTCTTTCACAGAAAACAAAACAAAACAAAACAAAAAACTGGCTTGTTAAGTCCTCAAGGAGAAAGAACACAGTGTCTTTGTGCAGAGCCGAGGTGAGGCTTGTACAATAAGATGTCATGTGTCTCCCCCCACCCCCCAGTCTGACCCTGCAATTGTATTTCTTTTTGTTTAAGCTATTCACCTACTCACTGAGATGAAAAATGATGTTTAGACATTGGGCTTTCAGAGAAATATAGAAGAGTGTTGATCCTCTGGTAGGATGGCAACAAAGCACACTGGTTGGTGGCAGTGTGGTCTGTTATGTGTAAGGTAGTAGAACTGTGTGAGCTTAAGAAGTGGCTGGAGAGTTGGTAGTGGTTTAGAGTACTTGTTGCTCTTGCTCAGGACCAAGGTTGAATTCCCAGCACCCATGTGATGGTCACAACCAATTATTACTCCTGTCCCAGAGTATTCAATGCCCTCTTCCGAAAGCCTCTGGCACCAGCATGCATACAGTACATATGCATACATACAGGCAAACACACTCATATAATAATAAAACAAATACTAATTTATCATAAAATAATAGAAACAAATCTAGAGAAATGTAGTAGCATTTCTGTTTGAAATTAGTGTGTATGAAGCACCATATTATCCCTGGACTAAAATGGTAGCATTCTGCTTCTCTGTCCTTTCTGACTTCTGAGTAGGACTGCTCCTGCTGGTTGGTGTCTACAGTGAGGCCATGCCCCTGCCAAATGCTGTGTCTGCCCTGGGGGCACCCTTTTAGGTGAATCAGTCACCAGTCAGTCACATTGTCTCTCAGGAGGCATTGTAGAGACCTCATTGTCACATGTCCTCCAGTGGGGAACAGTTCAAGGCTGAGCAAGGGAAGTGATTGGCCCAGGATTCTGTAATTGCATGTCTGTACTTAGGGTTGACTCTCAAGTTTATTGGAAGGCAAAAATGGAAGCCTTGGAGAAAATGAGTCAAGAACAAGCTAAATGAGTCAAAGATGGAGGGCCCTGCCAGGGAACCCAAGTCTCCTTCAACACAGAAGCCATGAGGAACCTGGGAGGAAACATCCATGACAGTTTTCTGGTCACTGCGTGATGACAAGAGGTTAGAATGGGTGCCTAGGAAGGAGTCAGCCACCTCCTGTGTCACAGTCTCACTTGCTGCTCAGTGTACTTCTCTGTTCGGCCTGTGCCTACAGCAGACAGTAAAGGTGGAGAGGCTGAGTTGGCTCATGGTCTGTGGAGAAGCCACGGGAAGCCAAGGGTTAGCTTTCTGCATTCATTTTGTTGGTTTTCCTTTAACCACATTTTATCACTTTGGAAGTAAGCATTGCTCCTCTGTCTTCACTTTTCAGGGTGTGTTGGAAGCTGCTGAGCTGCAGCCATCAGGGGCTGCATTGCCTGCATGTGTGTCAGCCACAGCCACAGTCAGTTGCCTTTGGAAAGATGGCACAGTGGTTTGCACTGAGGTGTAGACAGGACAGTGTGCGCCACTAATTGTAGGGAGATGGGCATGTGCTAAGAAGTGACTTGGGGCTACAGACTGATGTGTCATACAAGCCTAGTGTTGTCATCTTGACAGCTGTTTTGTGGTGCTGTATCTAACAATAAAACATCTTACAAAGATGGTACCTTAGCTGTCTTCCTCTTTAAAATTTGTGTGTGGGTAATTTGAGGTTAGTGAAGAGATGAACCCTGGGACCAACATTGAGACAACTCTCTGTACCTGCCTTGGGTTTGACTGCCCACAGTTCTGCCTTGGGTTTGACTGCCTACAGTTGCAGGGTTAAATTTGCAAAGAAGTCCTCAAAACAGCACCCAGCTTGAGGTCCACAGTGAGTGTTGTCTTTGTGAGCAACACTTGGCCTGTAATTCACACACACCAAATGATGTTAGGAGGGGCATGAGGGCAACTGGATGTTGAGCATAAGACATGGAGAAAAATATCTTTTATTCCTAAAATGTCTTTTATACTCCTAAGTGTTGGAAAATGAATCAGATAGGTATTTGATTGAGGCACCTTAAACAGAGCAGAGCCAGGGGAAATGCAAGTTGGGGAGGATGTTTTGAAGCTTCATTGAAATTGCCTTAGGGTATTTCTATAAAAAGAAATCTTGGACTTAGGATGGTAAGGTGTCCCTGCTGCTGGAGTGCTCTGCAACGCCTGGGTCACATAGATGCTGGTTCAGCTGACACTGAAGATCTTTGAGTAACCTTTAGAGGGCAGTAGACCACCAGGAATGAATCTGTCTAGAGTCTGGGTGAGCAGAAGGGAAGGAGGGTCATTAAAAAGATTTAATGAGTATTAGTCTGCATCTGTGTCTATGCACCTTGTGTTCCTGGTGTCTTCAGAGTGGAAAGAGAGTATTGGGCCTCCTGATACTAGCATTACTGACAGTTGTGAGCTGTTATGTGGATACTGAGAAACAACCCAGGTTCTCTTCTAGAACAGGAAGTGCTCTTAACAGCCAAGCCATCTCTCCAGCCCCCTAATAGACATTCCTAACTTTGTTTGTAAAAATGGGTGCTAACCTGGTGAGGTACAGTGTGTATTCATTGCACGTCAGTGCTGTGTTGACTGAGGCCATTCTTACAATGTTGACAGTTATTCTGGTCCAATTATGAAACATGCTCTAAGCAACTATTTTGTATGCATTTTCAAGGTCCTGGGTAGAGCCAAGGGATATAGCAGATACAAGTTATGTTTTCAAGTATGAAGGACTATGCTGCATGACTATGCTGCAACTTTGAGTAAAGTCCACATTCCTCAGAGTCTCCCAGCTGCTAGTAGAGTAGCATGACTCCTTGACCAGGAAGGACAGCCATGAGGGTAACAGATTGCAGTCACACCTGGAGGGGTTATGTTCTCTACATCATTTTCCAGCAACCAATGACCTCACTGTCAGTCATCACTATAGAAGAATGTCTCCTTCACTAGATGAAGTGACAGGTTGAGAACCTATGTCTGTCACGTAGTGAAAACGGAAGAAAGAAGGCGGATATTAACATTGTTCGACATGGCCCAGGTCATGCAGGTCTTGTGGGCAGGATTTGAGTACTGGGGTGAAAGTGAATACAAATTGCTTTTCCAACTGGATCATGCAGCCTGGAGCCTGTTGCAGAATGTACTCAAAATACACAGATGTGAGGAGGCATACCCTAAGACACATGGATGTTTTAGCGTGCACTGCTGTGTTCCAGGGAGAATCCCCTGGAACATTTGCCATCAAGGTGAGAGAGGCAGAGCCCTTTTGTTCCAGAGTAGAACTGCAGAGTATTTCTTCTGAGTTTATGACTGCGCTTCTGAGTGACTCTTGACAGAGGAAGGCCGTGTCCTCTACATGAAAGTCAGAAGTCAAACTGTATGGCTAGAGAATTGGGTTAGCTAGCCAGGTTTCAGCAGAGAAAACCACACTGTTCTAGGCTTCAAGAGAACTGGGAAGCATAGCCTCCCTTGTCAGCTGCGTGTTCACCATTGTGTGACTTTTTCTGGGCAGACGTCTGCTCGTTCCAGACAGGAAACCAAGACAGACCAAAGTAATAATTACCCCGAAGTTCAGCTTTACAGACCAGTGAATTTGCTGGAGTTAGGGGTATTGGTGAGGGGCTACTTGAAGGAGCACATGACTTGGGTACAGCTAACCTAAGCTGTGCTCCTGGAATTCTGCACCCCTGTAGACACGTAGGTAGCTCTGTAGGTTGGCAAGCCTCCTCCTGGCAATTGTCCCTGCTCCTGTAAAGAAGATGGGCCTTTCTGCTTCCCTGGACTGGGAAGATTGGTTATATTAATGGTCTCACAAACCTCCCTCCTCTGCACAACAGCTGTATTCATAGATACAGATTACAAATTGTGAGGGAGACCTGTGGAGTGTGATACTCTTCTGAGGGTCCTGTGCTGGGTGCTGGCTGGCCACACTCCTGGTTAAAGGCTACTAATAGTCACAGGGAAGTGGTGTGGACACAGCTCTCTTCAAGTACCTGGGGTCCTGATGGGCCAGTAAGGAATCTAGTGTTTTGTAAGGAAGATGTAGATGTGTTTCTAACAAACAAGCTGTTGCTTCTGTCCAGGGAAACATGGGAACCCTGGGATCTGTCCCTATGGATTCACTGGACTGCCTACCTTTGGACAAAACCTCGTGTTGTTGTTTGTTTGTTTGTTTGTTTGTTTTTGGTTTTTTTTTTTTTGACGAATCTGTTGCCTGACACTCCCTGGGGAGTCTGTATTCACCCCAGATAGGGACGGCAACAGCAGAATTCCACCCAAGTCTAGGTTGGGGAACCAGTGAATTTAATCGGGATCACTCAAAGGAGTAAGGGCGACTTAATGTGGCTAAGCCACAAGAGGAGTTTCTCTTCCCCAGCATTGGTAATTGTGAGCATCCCAAGGAAAGGACTGGTAAGACTCACGCAGTTTGTCTGCCATGGGCTGGCAGTGGGCTCAGCCTGGGAGAGTGCAATAATCACGGCTACTCCGATTTGAAGATGCACTGGTAGGGCATGTTTAGACCAGAGGACGGTTTTGCAATATCCTGGTTTGGTTTTTCCTTACTCCCAGGCCGTTGCCTGACGGACACTATGCCAGTGCTGTTCAGGACAGCAGTGCCACTCGGTCCCTAGCCCCCAGGTGTGTTTTTGTTGATGTCATGCTCTCTGGGCGCCACAGTCCTACAGAGCCCCTCACCTGTCACTTAGTATTCCCTTGTTAGGACTGCTGCTGTGTATCAGGACCCAGCACCACAAGCTGGGTGACTTAAACCATCAACTCTTAATTGTGTGAAACATTCTAAAGGCCGGAAATTCAAAACCGAAGCCACAGTCAGTCCCTTTCTGCTCCCTCTGAAACCTAGGGAGGCTTCTCCTGCTTCCTCTCACTGCTGGTGCTGTCAGACATGCATGTCTCTCCCTGCACCCCTGCCTTTTCTTCTTACTGATTTAGGGCCCACCCTGAGGCCCTCTTGTCTCCAGATGACTAAGGGGAAGTAAATAGTCCATGTGTGGTGGATGGACCAGTTGCAGAGAAGACATAAAATAAGGCTTCTATTTATGCATGATGCTCACTTCTATAAAATATACTTTTATACTTAGCTGTGTGGTGTGTATTACATGTGTGTGTGTGTGCCCATGACCAGAAGAGGACATGCTGCACCTTACTTCTTAGGCTGCCAGTCAGCCAGCCCCTGAGACTTTCCTGTCTCCAACCAACCAATACTGGAGTTGCAGGCATGCACAACCATGCCCAGTCCTCTACACGGGTACTGGGAATCTGAAATCAAGTCTGTGTGCTTGCAAAGCAAGTACTCTTACCCACGGAGCCATCTCCCTAGCTCTGTGCTTGTCTGTTAAATATGATCATGTCTTGTTTCATGCAGTTTCTCCTTGTTTGTGTAGTCAGGTCTTTTAGCTGTAAAGCATACAAGTGGATGAGAGCTTGTCCCCTGCTCAGGGATCTGGAGTGAGGCTTGTGGCTGCTTCATTAGAGGGCAGCTTGCAGACAGAGGTCTGTGCTGTTGCCGAGCACCTCCCCTCCCCTGTTGACACTCTGTCTCTTGCAGAGTTCTCTGGGGTGCTGCACCAGTGTCACATCCTGGCCTCCGAGATGGTGCATTTCATTCATCAAATGCAGTACTACATCACCTTTGAGGTAAGCTGGCTTCCTGCCTCAGGCAATCTGGCTCAGCAATATGAGGGGTGCTGCCTTCAGAAGAGTAGGCCCTCCCCAAGTCTCCACTCCTTCTTTCAGGTTCTCGAGTGCTCCTGGGATGAGCTTTGGAACAGAGTACAACAGGCCCAGGACTTGGACCACATTATCGCAGCACACGAGGCATTCCTGGACACCATCACCTCCCGCTGTCTCCTGGACAGCGACTCCAGGGTAAGTCTCACTCCTACAAACCAGGACTGAAACTGTCAAATACAGCAGCTTGGGAATTGCCAGATACTGCTGCATCAGTGATAATTGAGAGAGGTTTATTAAAATTGGTGTTTGAGGGTCACTTTCTGAACAGAATTGAAATACAATTGGTGAAATGAGAGTGTGTTCTAACTTCTGGCTGTGACAACAGTGATGAGCAGCTGTACACTGTTGATGTTGTGTAGAACAGGAGAAGTCATCGTGAATGAGGTCATTTGGACCTGTGGCAGGATGGACACCAGAAAGTCATCTAAACATCAAAACTGGTGGTGGCATGTATAAAAGTCTCAAAGAATGTTGAAATCTAGAACTCTGGGTGTCTTCCTCTTTCTTTGTACTGGGAATCAGTCCCAGGACCTTACATACCCTAGCCCGAGCACCCCCATCCTGTTGTTATGTTCTTAGTCTAGGGGTAGTGGGCTTTTAGTCAATGGCATATGACTGGGTGACATCAAATAGACTGCACAGAGCTGCAAGCATCCCCTGGCTCAGGGCTTTCTGCTGAGTTATTTTCCTGTAGAGGCCCCTGTTCTGGGACTCTCATTTATTTTAAAGATCTGGTTCAAGAAAGAACACATTCTGAGCTTGAAGCAGGTTAACGCATCTGGGCGAAGCCTCGAGCGTGGTTCTCACAGTGTGCACTGCTCGAGACACATTCCAGACTTAGAGGCAGTGCTTTTTTTGTGTTCTGCTCATCTGCATTAGCCTACTATGGTGAAGAAAAGTATTTGGATAGACTTAATTTAAATGCACAACCAGTGGTGATCAAAGGATTGTCTCTGTGGAGTTTGCTTTCTAGATACTGAATAATGGCACAGAAGTGCTTAAAACACTTGAACATAATTAGTAACTCATGATATGCACATATGAAATGGTCTGGGGTCCTGTTGACCACTTTCATTGTAGGGAGAAACCCTGATTAAGAGGTGCTGCTGTCCATGCCCACTTGGGCTGGTCGCTGGTCTAGTCTATGAGGTTGATACTGCAGTGGGTGTCACATCAGTTACCTGGTGCCCATGTTTGTTTATGAAGGTGATCCTCAGCCATTCTTTGTGATGTGCCATAGACATGGAGCACCCACACATGGGCCAGAGTCAGTGTTCAGACTGGTGACAGGCTTTTCCTCGTGACTCCAGGGTTCTCTGTTTTCAGAGGCACAGTGTTGATTTGTGGGGATTAAATTATATGACTCACTATGGTAACTAGCTAGTAGATGTAGCTGCTACCCTTTCAAGCTGTTGAAGTCATGCTTTGTGTTGTTTTGCATAGGTTAAACAGGTGTGAAAGTCACTAGATATAATCTTGGAATTACAAGGACTGCACCCACATGGGCACCCTATTTTAAGTGTGCTCACTGCTAACATGGGGGCTGAGCCATGGAAGGACAGGAAATGTCTGAGACAAGATGACTCACCCTGGCTCTCGCCTTATAGAATGACCGTGAATATGAGCAGTGTCCAGAGAAAGAATCTGCTGCTGCTGCTGCTGCTGCTGCTGCTGCTGCTGCTCCTGCTGCTGTAGGGCAGTGTTTGTGGGGAAGCCCTCCTCAGACTCCAGCAGGCTTGGAGCTGTACCTTTATGAGTGTTCAGTGTAATGACTGGCTATTGTTTGTTTGCTTTAGGATAGGGTCCTGCTGTGTTGCTCAGTCTGGCCTGGAACTTACGATCCTCCTGTCCCAGTCTCCAAAGTGCTAAGATTATACATATGAGCGACCACACCTGGCTCTGGAGGATTTTGTCATTGCTTGTTCCAAAGAAAGAAATCTGATATGTTACAGAAAGGCAATCTGTTGTGGACATACTGAGTTTAGTATGGTCATCATTTCATTATGTCCCTTGGTGAAAAAGTCAGTGATCACGATATACAGAGCTAGTTGGGAGGAGGGATGACAGGTGCTGATATGTGTGTGTGTCTCATCCTTTGTGCAATGTTGAGAAAAACTCTGAGCAGCCAGTGAGAAGGTATAGGCTGGAGGCAGCTTGGAGTGTACAGTTGCAGACCCCCTGGAGCAGACCAGTGCCCACAGGGAACACTTCACTTAAAGGAAACATCAGTTAGTGACCTCAAGAGCAATGCAGTGTTCCAAAAACAAGGTGTTTTTTTGTTTGTTTTTTTATGTGACTACAATAGAGAAATAAACTAGAGAATTACATCCTTATCAAAATTTAAATGGAACCATCTCCATTCTTTGTTTTCTAGTTTTGTCATAAAATAAAATTCTGACAGAGAACAGGATGACACTTGCTTGAGCCTGTGGTCAACACCAGAGCCACATGGCTGCCTGTCAGGAATGGTGTCACCTGATCAGGTCCTTCTGGCTCTTTCCATTGCTGTGCAGTTTGAGGGCCCTGTTTCACATGAGTGCATTGTAGTAAATGAGAACCAGGCATTGTCTGTTTTGCGGTGTCTGTTCTTAGGTGAGCTTGTTCTCAGAATTGCTCAGCACAGGCTCCAGTTTCCCACGGATCCAGTTAGCTCAGCTGTCAGGGGCATTGCCTCACATCTCAGCAGGGCAGTGTGCTTGGCCCAGAGATGGCTGATGGGGATATTAATTGTGGAATGAGTGTGGGATATGAGCTTCTCTCCAGGCTGACTGGAATAGTCTTCCAAAGAGTGATGGTTTGAATGAGGATGGCTCATATGTTTGAATGCTTGGTCCCCAGTTAGTAGAACTGTTTGAGAAGGATTAGGAGGTGTGGCCCTGTTGGAGGAGGTATGTCACTGGGGCTGAGCTTTGAGGTTTCAAAAGGTATCTCTGCCTGCTGCCTGCAGACCAGGATATAAAGCTTGTTGAGGTAATGCTCCAGTGCCATGCCTGTCTGCTTCTGCTATGATCTTGGAGTAACTTTCAGAGACTATAGGCAAGCCCCCAATTAAATGCTTGTTTATGAGTTGCCTTGGTCATGGTGTCCCTCACAGCAATATAACTTAAGACAAAGCAACTGTTTTTCTGTTGCTATAGTCCTGGCTTCAGAGATGTGTGGACACATCTAGACACAAAAAGCACACAAGTGATCTTAGTGTGTATACATCCTCAGTTCATGCTTTGTGCAGTAGATGTTACTTTAGGACAGTCCATTCTCAAGAGTCAGAATTCAGTCCTGTGGGAATCCAGCAGCCACCCATGAGCAACATTAACCACTTTGACAGGGGCTTCTTAGTCAGCACTCCTCCAACATGGTTACACTGGGGACCAGTTTCTCTGAGGTTTAGAGGGGACAAAGCAACAGTCTATCTTTAAGTAGAAATGCCTCACCAGAATGTTGTGGTTCTGTTCATTTAAAAAACACTGTCTTTTCAGGTACTTTTAAATCAACTCAGAGCTGTGTTTGATCAAATTATTGAACTTCAGAATGCCCAAGATGCAATGTACAGAGCTGCTCTGGAAGAGTTACAGTGGCGGCTACAGTTTGAAGAGAAAAAGAAACAACGTGAAATCGAGGTATGGTTTTTAACTCACGCTTTCGCTGTTGTCCTGTCACCATGGGGCAGCAATAGCTTTCCTGCTGAAATCTCTGCAAACACTGGGGCAGAGGACGTTCTGACTGCTGTCAAATTGAGTGGTGTCCCAGTGTCCAAGCTTGACACTGTCTGTACTATTGTCTCCAGAGTCAGCCTGGCACTCTGTCATTGACTTGAAGCTGAGTGGTCAAGCACCCTGACTCATTTACTGATGCGTGAGCAAGGTTTCCTTAGGACATACCTGTGTGTTCCTAGTGGCCTAGAGAGGAACATGGAATGGAACAGTCAGGCTGGCGGTGGGGTTTCTTGTCCTTGCTGGCCTGGACTGTCTGCTCTTTTGAGGCACTTGTCTCGGGGTAATGAAAGGCAGGTCATTTAGTCAGCCAGCACAGTTAGGTTGGTTTTACTCTTGAGTATTGTCCCTGTAAAGCCCGTGTGAGGGGCCTGGTAGCCACGTCACAGGCACTGAAGTGTGGTAGAGTTTGGAAGCAGGTATCCTTTGATGCTACATGATTATCTCCTGGCTGCAGTGGTTTGTGGGTAATTCTGAAGTGTCATGGGATTTACACACATATAACTCCTGATCCATGCTGAGCAGCCTGTGTGTGTGACTGGTAGACGCGGGATTCTACCCTAGCTAATTCTTACGATCTCTGTGCCTTTGGTAGAGTTGTCATCTGTGAGTAACTTGTAATCATGATAGTTAGTGTGACCCCAGTGTCAGGTTTTCACAGGTGATGGGCATGATACTTACCCAGCATCCAATCAGCATTCAGTCCTGCTGGCCACCTCCCTTCCAACCCACCCTCTGGAAAGCTGTTAGACTATGTAAAACAGCCTACTGAAACCAACCTTTAAGATTTTATTGTTCTAGGCAGGTATGGTGTTGCACCCTTAAATCACGTACTCGGGAAGCAGAGACAGGTGGATCTCTGAGTTCAAGGCCAGCCTGGTCTATACAGTGAGTTCCAGAACAGGGTTATATAGTGAGACCCTGTCTCAAAAACAAACAAAAAACAAAACAAAAGCAAACAAAGATTTATCATTCTGATGATAGCATGGTGGTTTGTTCTGTCCATGGTGGTGGCCTCAGCAGATGTCAACTATCAGCGACAGAAGGGACACAGCCACACACGAAGTGCGGGTTTATTAGGTATGTTTCAGAGATGCTTGATTATCTAGGGAGAGCTGTAATGCTGAAACTGCCTGCAAAATTTATTTAAATCCAAAAGGTAAAATAATTTTGCAACCATCATTCAGATGTGGGTCCACTGAAATGTGAGAGATGGAGCCGGCTCCTGAAGGGTTCGTCATCTTGAGTGCCTTGCTGCGGAGGTTGCGCTCTGTCATGTTGCTGTTAGGTGGAGCAGTCCCAGAGGTCCTTTCTTCTGCCATTCATGGCTCTTCTCTACTCTCTTCCCACTTTTCTTATCAGAATACCTTCCATTATTATGATATTTCCAATTCAAATTCGGGATTGAAGGGCTTTTACTTCTTTTAGTTTTAAAACTACATTTTATACATTGACACTGTTGGTTCTAGCATTAGCATACTTACTTCCTGCTGCCGGTGACACCCACATTTCTGTACACACCCGTGTTCAGTAAGATTCTGGGACCAGTACCAGCCATGGTAACTGAAAAATACAGCGACCAAGTCACTTCCCTGAGGATCTGTCCCACTCTGTGAGTGCATTCAGAATCACCCTGTCCTGTCCCGTGAAGTGGCTTCATAATGTCACCCTGTTGTTTCATTTCTGCTGTTCTCTGTGTAGTAGAACATGGATGTGAAACCCTAAAATTTTTACTAATTGATATACCAAATGGAAAATGTTACAGAATGTTTGAGATCATTCCAGGAATGCAGAACTCTTTGTATTATTTTATTGCAAAATAAAGGAAAAATTTAATTAACCCCAAGTAAAATCTGATTAAAGATCTGTGTGGCAGATCTGCTCTTTGGTGACATGCTGAGAGCTTCTTAGGTGAGAATGAGACTGGGAATCACTGGCTTAGCACACTGCACTGACAGTCCCCCAGTGTGAGCACGGCCGGGAAATAGGGCAGAGAAAGCAAGTTCTTTTGCAAAAGTGCTTGTCATGAAATCCAAGATAGCCCTGAAGTCAATTTTTGGAATGAATGAGTTTGTCCAGCTGTCTAGAAATCAAAGTTAGTCAGTTTTCTTTCTATCAGTGGTAATTGGGATGAAAGTTTAAAAGAAATGCCATTAAAAATATATGTAATCAGCCAGACAGTGGTGGCACACGCCTTTAATCCCAGCACTTGGGAGGCAGAGGCAGGCGGATCTCTGTGAGTTCGAGACCAGCCTGGTCTACAAGAGCTAGTTCCAGGACAGTCTCCAAAGCCACAGAGAAACCCTGTCTCGAAAAACAAAACAAACAAACAAAAAAAAATGTAATCTGCACATTTCAGTAATGAACTGGAACAACTTGACTTCCTTGACCTTTTGGATCCAGCAAGGTTCCTGGAACCAATCCCCGTGAATCCTGATGTTCTTCCAATTGTGGCAAAGTATCCTGACGAAGCAACTTAGGGAAGAAAGGGTTTGTTTCATCTCACAGTTCCAGGTTCCTATATACAGCTGCAAAGTCACAGTGGCAGATCTTGAGGAAGTTGTATCTGCCATCAGGAACAGAGAGCATAGAATGCATGCATGCCCGTGTTCAGCACATGCTTTCCTTTACATCAGCTAGGGCCCAGCAAATGGCAGGTGTTACTAACAAAGTTTAGAAAGTCCCTCTCAGGCCAGCCTAATCTAGGCAAGTCTTCATTGACACTCTTCCCAGGCAATTATACATTTTATCAATTTGATGAATAAAACTAATCATTACAACTTCCTGCTTTGTCTACTTGTCACGTGAATACATTACTTTAAGCCACACCCTTCTATTTTAGGGTTTTTATTGCTGTGATGAAACACCATGACCAAAGCAAGGTTGGGAGGAAAGGGTTTGTTTGGCATATAAAGGGTTTGTTTGGAGTATAAACTCCATCACTGAAGGAAGTCAGGACAGAAACTCAAACAGGGCAGGAACTGGAGGCAGGAGCTGATGCAGAGACCATGGAGGAATGCTACCTATTGGCTTGTTCCTCATGCTTGCTCAGACTGCTTTCTTACAGAAACCAGGACCACCAGCCCAGGGATGGCACCACCCACAATGGGCTAGGCCCTCCCCCATCAATTGCTAACTAAGAAAATACACCACAGGTTTTATTACAGCACAATTTCATGGAGGCATTTTCTCAATTGAGGTTCCCTTCTCTCAGATCACTATAGCTTATGTTAAGCTGACATAAAAACTAGCTAACATACCTATCCCTTATCCCCAAAGTCTCATCTTACTCTCATAGTATAGAATACAATCGAGTTTTAAAAGTCTCCATAGTCTTAAAAAATTCCATTGTTGTAGAAGTTCAAAGACTCTGAACTATAAATTCCTATAAGATCAAAAACAACTCATATACTTCCAACATACAATGACACAGAATAAAGCAATCCTGTTTCAAAATGAAACAATCAAGGCATGACAAGGAATAATTAAACCAAAACCTCAAACCCAACAGGGCTAATGCCAAGTCCTGCAGCTCCATGCCCAGCATCTGGCGCTCATGATGAGATCTGCTGGACTCCACAGGGTTCAGGAAGCCCCGTTCCTCAGCCCTTCCACTTGTGGTACACACAGCTTCTCTCCCAAGCTTAGGCCAGCTCTACTCCATGCCTGTAGCCCTTCCTCATACATGTCTCACAATCTTGGAATCCCCAACACTCTGGAGCCTCTATCATAGCTAGCTCCACACAGTGGTCTCTGAAGGCTTGCTTCTCTTAAGGGGACTTCAACTCTGCCCCACAGTGCCTGACCTCAGCTGCCCTCCGTCACCCTTTCCTTCTTGTGTCTTTCATACCTTCAAAACCAGTATCACACAGACACAGCCGCCATCTGGAGGCGTAGACTGTCCCATGAGCCACAGGTCTATCACGTGTGTGCTGACCCTGAGGAAACCCTCTTCCTGACACTGCCGGGTTTCTCTTTCATGGGCTGATCTCTTTAACAGCCTCGACTGCTTGGCTGTCTGTACTTCCTTGTCAAAATCCTGAAGCTTGACCACACACCTTTAAGTCCAACTTCACTCCAGATCTCAGGACACTGGCAAAATGAAACCAGATTCTTACTAAAAAATATCCAGGATTGTCCCTGGCCCATTTCCTGACAGTCCTTGTACTTGGAGGTCTTGTGAGCCAGGCCTGGGTGGCTGGAGTAGTGGGTAAATAAGCTATTAACTGGTTTAATGGCTAATAAGAGGTGAGAGCACACGTTAAAAAAAAAAGACAAATAGAATTTTTATTTCCTTAGGTATATACAAATAGATTACTCTCTGTAAACTAAACTAATTGTCTATAGACACCCAAAATGGACTGCAGAAGGATATGCAGAGAAGTAGGCTATTGAAAGTACAGTTGGCCCTGCTCCCACCCTGCCTAGCCACAGTTCCAAGTTACCACAGGACCATTGCCAGACAGTGTGAAACACTTGGGGCCATTATGACTCAGAAAGAACAAGACTGAGTTCTGAGTACTAAATGGGCAAGTGACATAAAATGCAAATGAAAAACCCTAGCAAAATGAACAGTTTCTCAAGATCAGGATGTATGCCAGGAATGCAAAGGTTCAGATCAGAAAATCTAGTAACTGGGATTTACCGTGTTCACCGATGAAGAGAACTAGGTAACTCCCATCCAGGCTGGCTGGGCACATGTTCAGTCAAGTTTACCATTTCCTGGGGGAGGGATGAGATAGGGTCTCACTGTATGTAACCCAATCTGGCTTCCAATTTAGCCATTCTCCTGCCTCATGGGATTACAGGAGTACCATGCATTTCTGGCTGAAAATGATCTTTTAGAATGAGCGTAGATGGGCATGTCTCTAGGGAAACACCCCATTCCAAGGGAGAATGTGAGAGGAGTTCCCACTGGAGTCAGGAGTGCCAGCACTGAGAGATGACTAGTTCCCTTTATGCCCATTGTCTGAATGAGGGAACATGGAGGGACACAGGGCCATCTCTACCACAGCGAACAAAGCCACAAGAAGACTGGTTAGTGGGACTTACAGTGGTGTGCTGAGTGTATGATACTGTTAGTTTTACAGCAAGGAAGCATCCAGCGGTTAAACTTTCTGCTTCTAATTATCCAGGGCCAGTGGGGAGTGACTGCAGCAGAGGAAGAGGAGGAGAACAGGAGGATCCGAGAATTCCAGGACTCCATACCAAAAATGTGTTCACAGTTGCGAATATTGACACACTTCTACCAGGTGTGTATAAGTACAAGCCATGGAGCCCTCTTCTATGACTGGCACTTGCTTTCAGTGGGCTAGAGATGTGGCTCATCATTGTCACGTGAGCAGCACTCAGGATGGAGTGCCTCAGGGTCTGGCATTTCCCCTGAGGACTCATCCTTGCTGAACTCTCCTCAGGATAATTGTATTGCTAGGATGAGAGCCTTGATGGGGACCTGTGACTTCTCATGCGCTTCGGAGTGACTACACCGAGTGCCGTTCTCTTGGATGGCATAGACGGAGCGTGGGCTTTTTGAGAGAGCTGAACCATGGGTAGTCACATCTGACAGAGCTTGTATCCTACAGGAAGGCTGCCCACCTTTCACAGAGATGCAGAAACCCAGTGATGGTTTTGAGCTTGAACCCCTTCCCCTGTAGACTGATGACTAGGCATGCATTTGTAGGTCAGTGAGATGGGGAAGACGAGCAGTGGAACCCTGGGCTTTATGCTCACCACAGAACAAGGGGCTTTAGCATCCGTGACTCTGCTTACTCCTGTGGTTCGAGTGCAGAGTCGGTTGACCAGTTGTTCCTACACAGACTGTATGCATTTTCCGTCTGACTGTATGAACAGGGGCTCCTGATGGGAGCGGCACTGGCTGAGTGAGTCCCCACTAGAGGCTTGTTGGTACAATGGCATTGGGAGGGGCTGTGCATGGACCAGGTGTTCAAGCTGACTCTCTGTGGTTTCATCCTAGGGTGTTGTACAGCAGTTTCTGGTGTTGCTGACGACAAGCTCTGATGAAAGTCTCCGGTTTCTCAGCTTCAGGTTGGACTTCAATGAACATTACAAAGCCAGGGAACCCAGGCTCCGGGTTTCTCTGGGCAGTAGGGGGCGGCGCAGCACCCACACGTGAGGCTGCAGGGTTATTAGATGCCCACTCAAACTAAGACCCTCCAGGCATCGGGGAGCTGCAGGTGCCCCCTGTCTGCACACAGGCCACAGTGTTTCAGCTCTGCTGGAAGAAGTCTCATTACCCACTGGACTTAGTATGATGTCACCTTCACATACTTCTTGCTCTTTACTTTCTCTTCCAAAGTTTACATTTTTATATTTAGTTTGCTATTTCAAATAACTTATAAAACAATACAGAAGCAGCAGAGCTGTGTGGAGCAAAGGTGTCCTTGGCTAGCACAGCCCAGATGTGGAGACCACCAGCTAGCAGTATGGATACGATGGGAGCAAGGCTGAATTGTTTTCATTTTTAAAATTCTGATAAGTACTGGAAAGAAATCCACTTGGATATTGGAGGTTTTCTTTCTCCTTGCCTATTTTTTCATTGTAAATATTTATATACTACTGACCAGATGATGGAGGGAACTGTTTTTTGTAAAAATGTACTATCCAGTCACATAATTATGCCTTTTTTATGTTGCATAAGTGAGAATTAGAGAATTAAAAGTATTATCTTTCAGATGTTTTTTGTGTTTCTTAAGTAGTCTGGAAAAACTGTCAGCTTGCTGAGTTTGTGAGCTGGAACTGGTGGAATTTGGTTGACTGTGTTATGGTGCATGAGTGGTTTAATTTGTAAACTCATATGCCACTTGGAGTGCAGAACTCAAGAGAGAGCAAGCAAGCAGTGCTATGCACTGGTCCCTTCCATCCCCTGGCAGCAGCACAGCCTGCTCTGTGTAAAGTTCCAGGGAGTCCTGGTATCATAGTAGGGAATCCACGGTGAAGGCCAGTTCTTAATGTATAGCTTTCATTTAATTTTACCTTAAAATGTTACAGATACAAAGCTGAGTGTAGAGGTACATGCCTGTAACCTTTACCTGGGTGGATAGAGGCAGGAGGGCCAGGAGTTCAAGGTCATCCTTTGCTACACAGGGAGTGTGACACCCCTTGGGCTACATAAGGACCACCTCCCACCCCCCAAAAGTTCATAAAATCAGAACTTTGAAGCTGAAGCAAGTTTCCCTAATGTAAGACTTTGTAGCAATTCTGGTGTGTGGTACATTTCCATGAAAAATTTCCAGTGTCGTTTGGTCATGGGCACTGCTTTTGCCCTGTTCTGGTCCCAGTTGCTCCAGGGATAATCCTTTGTAGATGGGGACCATCCTGCTCGAGTGGCTCCTTTCTTGGGTCAGCTGAGTAGGGAGAGCCTGGGCCTCACTGTGCCCTGCCAGGCTTTCCTGGTCATTGTTGCTCCCTGAAAGCTGAAGAAATGCACTCCTTCACCATACGGGGGGGAGATGCAGAAGACCGGATGTCCATTTTTCTTGGGACTACTGAGGACCTCATGGTTGCGTGGCAGGGAGACAACTGTGCAACCAGTATTTCATCTTAGCAAAAAATAAGTGCAAAAAAAAAAGAAAGAAAGAAATCTGCTAATCTTATATGCGGTGGCAGATGGCACTGTGAGTAAACCCCTGGGTAGATATTTTGAAAAACATGGAAACGCTGTACCTGCCTCACCTGGGTAGATGCTACAAATGATGTTTTGACAGTGAATGAGGAGATAAACACCTCTCAAAAGACACGCATCTGTGAGAAAACATTTTGAAAATGGATTTTCGGAAATGTTTCAAAATTTTATGATTCCATTGGTAAGGATGATGTGTTTCTGCTTTGCTTTGTCTTAAACACTTAAGAAATACAGAAATGCAGTTTTAAAACTCGTTCAAAGTGTTCAAGGCAGTGAGTTTTGGTAGCTGCCCCTACCTGTCAAAATCTCTACAGTTTAGCACATTTATCCCAGAGCACAGGTATTTACTGGTCCAACTTCAACACAAGCCTTGCAGAGCAGGCAGTGTGGCTGAACACCCAACAGAGGACAGCTGGTGAGGCATGTCTCCATCCTGTCTTCCGTCCTTCTGCAGTCCTTCTGGGGAACTGCCTTTCATTCATCACAGCTCACTGACTGAAGTATCACTTCCCATCATGCAATGCAGTGTTAAGGCAAGCAAGTCAGAGGCAGGGACGCCTCTCCAAGCTCAACTCTGACTAATGCTGTTCTACACATCTTCCTGTAAGAAAGAAGTGGTGACTGCTAACATGATTTAAAATCTTATCCTTTGGAGCTTTTAGTTCAGTAGCGTGTATAGCATTCTAACAGTTCTCTTTACAACCCATCTCCAGGCTCATACCTCGAACTCACTGCCATCCTTTCTGCTTGGAACTCCCTAGTGCTAGGATTGTAGGTGAGCGCCAGCCCTGGCTTCACATTTTCCAAGTCTGTTTCAGGGTTGGGATCCTCAGAGGACGGTGTCCCGTGTCCCATGGGAGCAGCATGGCTTGGACTGGGGATAGCCAGAAGCATGTGGTACCCAACCTCCCTATGCTGTGCAGTCTGAGCAGAGCTGTCCCTGGGGAGTCCTTTCTTGGCATCGCCCAGATGCTCCTTGAGGGACAGATGAGATGACAATTGCCAGGGAGATGAGGGAAGTTTGGGTGGTGGTACCCATTGTGTGTCCCTGCCGGAAGAGAGCGTCAAAGCCTGCTGCCAGGAAACCCATGCAACCACTATGGGAGTCAATTGCCTGCCGACCTTCGTTCCAACCCTTCATTCGAGGGGTACATATGGGGACCCCAGTGTTCTTAGAATGCAGTATTGATCCACTTGCCTATGGGATAATTCATGGAGATCTTGCTAAGTTGGAGCAGTCAGACTCTAACTGCTCCTGCAGAGCCTATGTTGACCCAGGGTTGGACCAGGCATTAGGGCCACGTGTGTGGATATTTCCTCAGGCAAGGTATTACCCACCAGGTTTTTTTGGGGGGAGGGGTTGAGACAGGGTTTCTCTGTGGCTTTGGAGACTGTCCTGGAACTAGCTCTTGTAGACCAAGCTGGTCTCGAACTCACAGAGATCTGCCTGCCTCTGCTTTCCTAGTGCTGGGACTAAAGGCGAGAGCCACCACTGCCCAGCTTTTTTTTTTTTTTTTTTAAGATTTTACTTATTATGTATCCAGTCTTCTGCTTGCATGCCAGCAGAGGGCACCAGATCTCATTCAAAGTGGTTGTGAGCCACCATGTGGTTGCTGGGAATTGAACTCAGTACCTCTGGAAGAACAGTCAGTATTCTTAACCGCCGAGCCATCTCTCCAGCCCAAATAAGAAATCTTAAGAAAAAAATACAGATAGTGGTTGTGGAGAAATGACTCAGTGGTTAAGGATGCTCTTGCGCAAGACCTAGGTTCGAATCCCAGTACCCATATTGGCAGTTCACAACCCCAATTCCAGGTGATGTGACACCCTCTTCTGGCATCTGCACACATGTGGCACACATACATATATTCATTCATGCATGCGCGCACTCGCGGGCACACACACACACAGCATAAAAATTGGTAAGACAAAACAAGTAACAAATGTTGGTAAAGATGAGGGCAAAAGGGACCCTATATACTGCTGATGAGAATGTAAACTACTCCAGCCACTGTGGAAATCAATATGGAGGGTCCTCAAAAAGATCTGAAAATATATCCACCATATGACCCAGCTATACCACTCCTGGATATTTACCCAAAGGACTCCTAGTGAGCATACCACAGCACTTGCACAGCAATGATTATTGCGGCACCATTCACAGAAGCTGAGTTACGGACAACTGAAGTGTCCATCAACAGAAATGTGGTATGTGTACACAATGGAACTAATACAAGTAATATTCTCAAGCATGTTTTTTTTTTTTTAAATATCTAAAAGCAAAAACAAACCAACAAACCTGGAACAGCCCTTTTCAATGTTCCAGGTAACAACTGGGCACTCTGGAACCTTCCCAAAACACCACCACTGCAGGACGAGAAGCAAACTGACTTTTTAAAAATGGTGGTCTCACGTATCTTTCCCAAGCTTTAGCAAATCCACAGATTAAAAAAAAATAAAGTAATTATTTTTTAAATCAAACTTAGACTGAATTCTTAATTTTTTGGTTTTATTTATTTATTTATTTATTTATTTATTTATTTATTTTTTTTTGGAGGCAGGGTTTCTCTGTGTAGCCTTAGCTGTCCTATAAGACCAGGCTAGCCTCCAACTCACAGAGAACCTCCTGTCTGCCTCCCGAGTGCTGGGATTAAAAGCATGTGCCACTGCCACCACCTGGCCTACCCACCAGTTTTATATTATCTATTTGATTGGTGATGTTTTAGATACATTAAATATTACAACCTCCTATCTTTTGTTCATTTTAAATGATAGCCACTAGATAACTACGGGCAATATGGCCGACATCTGTGACTTGTGCCACCATAGCTTTGCCACTCTGACCTTACTGTGGCTTGTTTGCCATAGGCAGAGTGGACAGACAAGGGCCATTCTGAGACCAACACACTCCTTTCCCTTTCCTAGCTTTTCTGTTTCTACCTTCTCAGTGAAGTTCAGGGTGTGGAGAAGCCTCAGGCCAGACTCTGTCATCTGCAGGAACCTGCATTTATTTGGGGCCTAAGGAGTTAATATTAAACCCTGCAGAAGAGTGCTAGGTATAACATCTGCACACATCTCCTCCTGTGCACTAGCATTGATGTGCTCAGTATCGTCCCCACGGGACTGAGTGAGGAAAAGTTCCACTTCTCAGTGTTGGCTTGGCATTGGGAGACACTTAGCGGATATCTACAGAACCTGGTAACCCCCTTAACAGAACCTGAGCTGATGAGCTGTGCACTACACTGAGGACATCCTGGGGAGGTGATTTGAGGAACACGAGCTTGGTGGCCTCTGTGTCTCATGCTGGAGGTGAGAGCACAGCTTCATGAAGCATCCAGGAACATCTCACCACCTCAAACCCTTGTTTCCTTGTCTGTGACACCAGACTTCAGGTGGCTCGTCCTCCCAGCTTGAGTGCTCAGAATGAATGTCTGGGCAGGCAGACGTTGAAATCACCTTTGATTGCACTGATTTTCACCGGGGACAGCAGGAGACTGCCCACACAGATGAGATTGTCACCTCACCACTTGGCTCCCCTCACAGTCTTAATCCACTTTGTTTTCTGAGTGCACCCTATATGGTGTTTATTTGCCCCATGCCCCTGTTCCATGCATGTGGTGCAGGCATCCATTTTCTGAACAGTCCCTGAGGCTGGTGCAGCTGGTTTTGCTATCTTTCCTCCATGTACAGGAGAATCTCTTTGGGCTTTGATCCACCCTGTGCTTGTGGAATCAGACTGGAGGAAGGGCTAAGGGTTAGGAAGGGACTGGGTGAGCCCTAAGCAGCACAGCAGGACTCAGAGAAGTTGCAGGTGGTGTCCCTGAGGCAGGGGTGAGGTGGGCGGTGATGTCCTTTAGGTTCTATGTGGTGAACATAGAGAGCATAGAGCTACCCACTGGGCAAGCCAGGCCATGCCAGGGGGCTTTTTTGCTGGGGATGAAATTGGGAAATGTTGACCTGGCAGTCGGGAAACATTTGGAAGTGGTATGCATACAGAAAGGGAGGAGGAGAGCAATGGCAGAGAAGCAGGTGACTCCAGGATGAGTTGCAG